TATATATATATAAAAGAAACAAGCACTCTCTCTCTCTCAAGGGGGCACATAGGCGATCAAGCAAGTTATATCAAATAACCGGCACCACCACCATCTTCGTCGTGGCACGAAGATTCCATATATTACGGTGCAGGCGTATAGTTGCTGGGAAAATGAAGAGGCTCGCGCCCCCCGGCGATTGTGAAAGCCTCGTAATTCGTTACGTAACTCCTCAGGTACCATGTACATTTGGGCATATATTGTATACCTATACGTAGGTATCATCTATGTCTCTTGCTATCATATGTGCTTGTAAGTACATCCCTAATCGGTCGATGCCTCTCTTTCGCGCGCGTATCCTATATATATGTATAAGTATAGTGTATATATCACGTGTGCACATGTGCATCGCCCGCATGCAAGGCTTCTTTTTCTTCGTCGTGGTAGTCGGTGACTTTGTTGTCTTCAAGACGAGGCGGCGGCGCCTCTCTTTCGTAAGAGGATGCAATAGCCCACTACAAGTACATTGTACCGATACATGTCACGAGGAAGTCACGCGGAGGATGCTGCTACATTCACTCGATTTATACTGCACATTTTTTTTTTTTTTTTTTTTTTTTTTTTTTCCAGTCCCTACCGGCTATATGCGTCACACGTTATGCCATACACCAATAGGTGAAATCCAATGGAGTTGCGAATAATGTATAGATTTTTCGTAAAGGAAAAAAAAAAAAAAAAAAAAAAAAAAAGATATTGTGAGGAGAAGAAGTGCAATTCAATTTTTTTTTTGGCAGACAATTTTCATCTTCGTTCTCTCTATGTTTTAGTCTATTATATATAATCATGCATATATATATATATATGCTGTGTAGGTTTTACGTTTTCATCAGAACAAATAATATCAACATTTCGGATAAGGGAAGAGCGAATATGGATCGANCCGAAGCTCGAATATATTGCACAAACGTGATTTACGGTAGTTTTGCGTTGCACTCGCTACTTTTTTTTTTTTTTTTTTTTTTTTTTTTTTTTTTTTTTTAATTTATCTTTACAGTTAAAAAAAGTGGTTTTGTGCTCGAGTGCGAACGTAGTTTTGTGGTCTTACTTCGATAAGTGACATGTGTGGTTGAATGACCGGTATCGGCAACTGTGTGTTTGCGTCCCACGAGATAGAAAAAAAACAGTAATCGGCGACGAAATCAGTGTTGGGTGGCTTCGAAGGCGATAAGAGCGGGGTCGAAGCATGAGGTACTTCAAGAGCTTTTTCAAGCACACTTGGCACCCGCAACAGGTAATTCGACGCAAACGAATTTTATTCATTTGCTAGAAAATGTCAGTGCTCGCATATACCATCGTATCCGTATATATACTCCTGACCGATTAAGAGACGCTGCAGTGCCGAGGTCACGAAAACAATCGCACACTCACACGCTTGCATTTTGTCGATTGGCATGTCAGAGGAAAGAGAGAAAATCGAAGCCGACACACGTACGTCATTTTTAATAAAAAATACCAAACCGTAGGTATACGAGTGACATGTACACATGGAGGTGGTAGGAAAAAAAAATAAATAAAAAGCACGAGTTGCGTAATCCTCGGTTTATTAGCGCTGAGTTGACGTAAGTCCTGTTGTGCAAATACTTTTTACTCGCGACATCGGGTTGTACGCGAATATTATGAAAATAACGCTTCAAAATTACAATAGCGGCTCTTATCGCGCGCGATTTTCGTGAGAACCGCCGACGGTTAACGATCACTCGTGTGGCGAAACGCACACGTGATAACATAACTTTTCGAAACAAAGTCAATTGATTTTTATAAATATTAAATAATACAAACTATACGAGTAATGGTTTAGTGAAGAAAAACGAAAAAGATTTTATATTTTACAGTTATTGTCTCCCGACACTTATGCAAATTGACATCTGTTTAACTGCAAGAACGTTCCTTTCTCTCTCTGTACGCTATGGAGCGTTTTTCCAAACTGTTGATACGAAACGTACTTTTTTTTTTTTTTTTTTCATTCCCTTGTAAACAACAACTTGCTGCTACATTAATTTATCACTTTTTATTATGTGTAGCTCGAGTGATAGCATCGCGGTATTCCCCAGAATTTATTAGCAGAAAATAAAAATGTATTTGTGATGTAGTATATACAGTCGTTAATTTATTATCTTGTCCTGTCGTCTTTGCGCATGTTACGAGAAACCCAAGCCGATCACAGCATATTCAGTTTTTTTTTTTATTCGTATACCGAATAATCCGTAACTTGCGGTAGGCCGTTATTATCGTCAAGTACATGCACTATCTAGGTATCCACATCCGCGGTATTTCCTCGACTGTGTGGTCAGTTATCGACTTTTATCAAAAATAAGTTGTTTCGTTTCTTTTTTTTTCCCCCGAAGTTGGACACTTACGTGTGTAAATAACATATAGGCAAAGTGTGTCTCGGAGTAACGGAATAATAATGAAGAGACAGTTCGTTTTGTCCACCGGTGCTGGAAAGAAGTTGTTTTCGGCGATTTAGCGCTTATAATATTAAGTACATATAAACTCGTTGTAGAGCGCGCGTGGCCTGCCTTGTTTTCCGAGGTGATGAGCGTGCAAATTCAACCGAAGCTCGAATATATTGCACAAACGTGATTTACGGTAGTTTTGCGTTGCACTCGCTACTTTTTTTTTTTTTTTTTTTCTTCTTCTTTTCTTTCCCAAATGTTCGATGCGTGTACGGTAAATCGGTATTTACTCGTTGAGCGTGAAATACATACTCGCTTGGATCCTCGAACCGAAAAATTTGCATGGACATTTTACGCTACGTGTATAACGGAGCAGTAAATTACCTATGACAGTGATACCTACACAACTGAAGTAGCATTATTTTTTTAAATTGAAAATTAGTTGTTGAGCAGCTCGAAAAAAGAAGGTCAACGCTCGATACATTATTACAATATGATTCACGTGCGTTATTATTATCAAAAGGAGCAACTTGATGTATCGGCTCTGGAATCGTGTAGTCTCGTCAATTACAACCTATAGTAACACGGTCCGATCTAAGGGAGTACAAAGATTGATTTTAATCAAAGTTACGCGTGTGATTGTGTGATTTATTATAAAAAAAAAAAAAAGAAGAAGAAGAAGATAAGTAACCCATACAGCGCGTGGAGAACGAGATTTTATTATAATTTTTCTTGTCTAATTACAATTGATAGCGCGTATAAAATTAACGAGAAAATTGCATCGATTTAATCGAGGAGCGATAAACGTTTCCAATATATCTGTAAACATGTACACAGCCACAAGCACCTCGGGTTTCTTTCTCAGGTCCATTAGGTTTTCATTGCGAGATTGGATGCTGGGAGCATATATACCTATATATACAAGCCCATGTGAGTTTCGATCTCCCGGCGGTGCTCACAAGTGTGTGTCTTTTACGATACTTTCACCCGTGCGTGAGCAGGCAAGGTCGCTTTAGTTTTAGCTTCGTTGTGTTTATCCCGTTGGTAAACGAAAGAGACGACCGAGTAGGTTTTTCTGTTGTAATTAAAAGTATATTTATATATATGATTCTGAATCAATACTGTTACATTACAGGTCAAATGATCATATACTTCTCTTTCCACCATGAAGATACGTTACATGATAATCTAAAATTAAAAAAAATTTTTAAATCATCTCATCTCGTGTGCAGTGATGAGTCATGGAGAGTCGATTGCACGTATATTACCTGTTTCATGCATCTCGTTGATGTAAAAATCGGTTTTTGATTTCTCGTTGCTTTCACTTTCGATCGGCCATATGCGGCAGTTCGGGGAGATGCTTTTTGCTTTCTCCTCCTTGGAGTTCGTATTGCCTCTATATAGTTGTACATCGTCACCAATGGTGCCTATTGATTCTTTGGTCACAAGTTTCTTTTGTTATTTATTTTTTTTTTTTCCTCCAACAACGACCTACTCATCTAAATCGAACCAATTTAAGCATACGATACAGAGCATCTCTTTTTCTTTCTCGGCGTACGGTACAGTTGTCTCTGCGTATTAAATGAAGCGCTTCACACAATAGTAATGCTACGAAATTTTTCTTTTTATAGAAGATGTTTTTTGACTTTATTTCAATCGTGGTATTGTACTTGTATGGCGATGAGTTAAAAAAATCCACCTAAAATAAATTGCAATGTATGGGAGCTTTGTTGAAGTTTTGAATATATCCATATCTCATGAGTATACATGAGCATTGCACTTTGTCTCAGTGAGTTTAGTTACGTGTTTTAGATCACAGATATGGTAGTTTGGTGCGTGTTCACTAGAGAAAAAAATCCAAATGCCCGAGGATCCTTTGTCATCACCCTGGTCAGATGCGGATGCTATTATTCCTATACCGCGGACACATAGCGAGCGTTCAAAATTGAAAAAAAAAAAAAAAATGCTCGAGGTATAGGAAAAATCTCTTTTTATGCTCATGTGATCTTTGCTTTTTCGTTAATCACATGACAGCACAAAAGAAGAAGATCTTTTTCAAAACTAATAAAAGATAATAAAAAAAAAATAATGCTCCTACGTTGATTCGCTCATTCAAACATCGATTGATAACCATCCGTCGCTCGTCGTATACATATATACTATTTCCAAGACATTCCATCCGTCTATACAAGTAGCCGAGAGCTGCTGTGTCGAAAGAAAGAAAACGCTTGCACAGGTATATTTATACGATAACGCCAAGTCGACTACCAGCTCTATCTCTATTAAAATCTTATCGGCCCCTGTAGGTATATATACAGCTTTTACGTAATTTTCGAGCGAGAGGAAAAAAAAAGGGTACGTAACTATGTGCACGAGAGTACATATGCGGGTGGATACCGAGGTAAATCGCGACTCGACCTCGGATCGATTGAAATGCCGATGATGATAAGTACATAATGTGAAGGCAAAAATACAAATAATAAAAAAAAAAAAAAAAACAGGAAGCTGCGGTTGAGCCGCGAAAAATCCTAAAGTTTTGAATAAAATCACCATATTGTACGAAAATTTTCGAATTAACGTAGATTATTTTAATCACCTTTGTCCTGCATATGCACAAAAAGACCCATACTGTATACCTATACCGATCTTTAACGTCAAGAACCGCCGCATTGTCCCCCCAGTCGAATCGAATAAACAACAAAATCCACTCCATCAGAGGCCCGAGGGAGTACAAGTTATATACGAGCTTCCTGTTTAAAGAAAATCGCCGACCTCCCTCCTCCACTCCCAGACGTAAAATTGCACAATCAAGAGCTATCTCTGTACTCCACTCTAAAGCGTGTAATTCGGTCTTTACACCGCGTTAAGTGCCATTTCCTTCGTAACAAATGTTACAGTGTCTTTTTCGCGCGAAAACGGAGACTTGTTGAAAGTATATGTATAAGGAGAGAGGGTTTATAAATATACAACTACTAGCGCCAAGGTATGGAATGCACACAGTAATGCGTAGGAGGAGGTGTCGATATGGAAGCCGATAACGATCGATCGGTGATAAGAAGCGCGGCCGGAGGGGGAGATGGAAAAAGGCGCCCCCCCCCATACCAGTTTATAGGATATAGTTCGAGCGTCGGCGGGTGGTGAGTTAACGAGACAGTTCCCCCCTTGGGCGTGTATACTCGTACAGAGTCAGTCTCGCTGATACCGCGCGCTAGTGCGGATCCGGGAAATGTAGCGTCCGAGTGTGTACAGGACATATTCCGCGATGAGCCATGACGGGAGAAACGCGTGTATATATATATATATTTATATAGGTCATGAGCACGAAAGTTAGACATACGCACAGCATGGAGAAGAATGAGCGTGGCATGTACCAGGAGCTTTGCTCCGATCAAGTAAGTGGAGCGCGCGCGTGCGGGTATACATCACTTGTATTTACCGATAATCCTCGGATCGGGAGGTACATAACGAGCGTTGTACGCTGTGGTGAATAGAAATCTGTACGGGACGCTCCGTGTTTTCCTCCTCCTCCACTTGTTGTATCGGTAAATCGTTGTTTCTTTGAATAAGCGAGCATATACTTGTTTTCGTGCCTATACATACTTTATGTCTATTTGTTGGTCAAATGGTGTGGAAAAACGAGTAGGTATACAGTTTGTTTGGTGTGTATATTATGCTCGCGCGTCGTGTTGCCCCAAGTATCGGGAATCGCGACCGTGTAAGCAGAAACTTCGCTTGGTATACCTTGCATTAACATCGGACAGTGGTATCTTTTCATTCCTCAATGACGTTTTTTTTTTTTTCCCCCTCACCTACGGATTTTTTAAGATTTCGACGAGCAGCAAAAATAGATCGAGCTTCGCTTACTTATCGTGTAGTTGTTGTGCATCTGAACGATGCCACGGAAGAACTCCAATCTTCGATATCTTGCACGGGTGTCGGGGAGTATATTAAAAAAAAAATTTTTTATCCATTTATTTACTTCAGTACTGGGGCAAAGTCCAATTACACGATTAAATACTGTGGCATTCAAAAAATACTGCATTTTTCATCGCGTTGGCGCTCCGATATTTGCAAAATATACCATGTCAACATACGATTAGAATACCAATGTAACATCAACACATTGGAATATTACGTCATATCGGAGTCATCGGAGATCGAAGAAATATTGTTTTTATATACTTTAATGATTTTTCACCTATACATAATTTCTTAATTTTGACATGACATATTATTATAGTTACTTGAGATTTTTAGAGCAAACAATTCTCAACTGGTGTCGCTGAGAGGCGACTCCAAAATTTAAGGAGTTACTATTAGAACTCGCAGTATACTTAGCATCGAAATGTTTACTTTGACCACAAGACCCGTTTTTCAAATTGAGTAAANCCAACTGTACGGTGCCTCCGTACAAAAGGTGCAAGATCATTTTTGTCTTGGAGATAGTCTCAAAAGGACATCACGCCTTTTTCATTGCATTGAAAATGATAGCTTTTGATCGCGAAAGTGTGCCGCGGGAAGAATGTCTCTTTAATGTCCATAGCTAAAATTCCCGGAATCGTTGGAACAAAGGGAATTTCAATAGTTGGATTTCCGTAGAGATCATATCATTCGGAGATATAAGAAGGGAATCCCAGTTTTTCCCGCAACAGTCACGATTTTCCTCATAAAAGGAGGAAGAAAACTACATGTTATTTGTAAACAAAAAAGTTGCGTCGGATCATCCATAGATATTTCGTTACATATTCCTAGAATTTACTCGATTCGGATACAAATAAATGCAGCGGCAAACGTGATTATCGTTCAGTGTAACGGACCATTCTCGCAAACACGCCACAGCAGTGGATATTTATTTATATATTATACCTACTACTCTCGTACCTATACTTATCCTTATCGCTGAGTTGAGATTGGGAGAGACGCAGGTATACTTGTTTATCTAAAAAGTAAACACTCGCGATGTACGCAAACCGGCAATCGTCTTATCGCTTAAAAAAAAACAGTTCTTTTTTTTTTAATCATCCCTACGCAAACATTAACATTGATTTTTTAACATGGAGCGTATTATCTATGATATATTTGGGAAAATGATAAAACGGATTGATGAAAATCCCACGAATTACAAGTCCTTTTTTTTTGCCTCTCGCAGATGGACATCACGGGAAGGTACAACACGCCGGTGCGGTGCGACGCCAGGATCGAGGAGACGGAGCTGGGCGAGCTGGGTGGTAATCCCGGGGCAGTGCCGGCGAACCACCAGCACCGGGTCAACTTGGCGTGCCACGACGGCGCCTGCAAGAGCCGGGCCCAGCGGCACCAGCCGGTCCACCGGCTCGAGAGTCCCTGGCACCACCTCAAGACCGTCTTTCTCGTCTCCATCATCATATCCTTCATCGTATGGATCGTCGCTTACGTTCTACTCGTGCAGTACGGTGTCGTGTGATTTTTTTTTTTTTTTTTTTTTTTTTTTTTTTTTTTTTTTTTTTTNTTTTTTTTTTCAGGATAATCCACTGTTGCGCAGATGAACTTTTTATTTTTAATTTTTGTTTATAATTGCGAATGGTGCGGTCAAGTGGAGTTGCTTATCGAAGCGATTAACATTCGCGGACACAAGTGATAGGCGCGTATATGATGTGGGTGGCCGATGCGTGCAATATTTATGATCGCGATCGCGAAAATGCCATCTCTGTTCTTAGCTGTATGATTGTATAAGGAGGCTCTTTACAATGTGTGACCGGTTGTAGGGTACGCACGAAGAAAAATTTTATTTCTACGATTTGAACAAAAAACGTTGTAAAAGTGCGTCACAACACTTCCTTGCGTATAAGAATCATATAATTTTTACAATCTCCAGTGAGACTTTGAAGCTGATTTATCATGTAAAGTTTGGTCCATGACCAACACGCATGTTTTTGTTTATACACTGTAATAACTGTATAAGATTACGAGCAGCAGGGTTTCACTTTTGTTTTACAAAGAGCCTCTTCGAGGAATTGTTAAGTTAATATAATGTGCAATCGTGCGCTTCGATTGCTAAAAAAATAATTGAGCACAAAGGAACGTCTGTTATGTAAAAAGAGAACAAAATATATTGAAGTTTGGTGAAATCTTATAGAGTCGAATAATAGTTTGATGAAACGTATTTTAAACGTAAAAATGCGACAATAATCATACTGCAACTGTTTAGCTGTGATTTAATAAGTTAAGCGTTTGATTCGCTCTTTAATTTTTTGCCAAAGTGTTTTCAATGAAGAATAAATTTGGGTTAGCTTGTCTTACATTTAGGCAATGAACCGCTTTACTTATCCGTCTTAAGTAAATAAAAGTGTTTTATATATAAATTTTGCATTTTAAAAAGACGTCAAAAAATCACGATGTACAATATATGTTACATATTATCATTACTCGATGTAGTGGTCATTTATGATTAAAATACACGTGCTAAAATTTTGATTTAAATTATGGAGACCTTGATAATATAAATATTTGTTAACATAATTTTATGTTGGACAATATTGTCCGCAAAAATTAATCTTAAGTACCTATAATCATAAACTCTGCACGATATTTATTTTGTGATAACGACTCCGTCGATAAAGTGGAGAACCTACTTTTTTAACGATCACCGAAATAAAATATACAAATGTAAAAAGTAATAAACAAAGTTGTTGGAAAATTTAAATCTCTATTCGCTGTACTTTTTTCACAATGCCCACTTTTCGAATCCATGAAGTTCGATGAAAATAAAAAAAAATAAATGACAATCCTTGGCACATTGTATGAGATGTACACACGTACGCACATTCGGGTTAAAAATATCGTTGTATCGGTTGAAGCTATAAAATTATAGGAAAATCAAGTTGATGAAAATAATTTTGTAAATTGTTGAAATGTTGACCAATAATCGTTCGGTTCCCCTGATTTACAACAAAAATTGGAGATTATTTAACGATAAAAGTTGCTCCGTTGGAAAACCAGATTTTTCATCATAGCCGTAACTTGAATGAAAAGTTCGTCAGCCCAAAATCAGAATAACAAAGCAAGAAAATTCCGGTACAGGTAAATGATGGCAATAACAATGTACACCAAGGTGATGATTAACCCAAGCTTAATGAATTCGGGCTGCTGGTAGAAAACGGCCGAAGAAGCGGCGAAAACGATGCGGACGTAGAGGTTGAAGATAGAAACGAATATTACGACCAGGAGGTGATTTTCGCAACACCGTCCGGCGCACTTTTTTACGCACCTTCGTCGACCAAGGACCGATCGACCCAATCGACGAGGGACAAAGCGACGCAAATCGAAATGCGCACCTCACGTAGCTTTGATCGGCTGACCGAGGAGTTGCTGGACGACATCGAGGACGAGGAGTGCGAGGTTGAATTTTTAATTTTCATGGAAAAAAAAAAAAAAAAAAAAAAAATGCATTTTCCAAAGTACGACATGATGTTGTGTGGATTTTAGGCCAACTGTACGGTGCCTCCGTACAAAAGGTGCAACCAGACGTTAATCGGGTGGGACAGCTTTCGATCCAAGACTATGCTCGCCTTGCTCGCTCTTTTCGTCGTGTGGGCGTTCATATATTTCCCTTTCGTACTGCCGTCCCAATGACCTCTGGAAAACAATGTAATACTGTATTTTCGTTTGGTTAATAAACTATAATCGTCACTTTGTGATAAATTTGTTGAAAAATACGTTTCTGTTCAATTAGTCAATTGGGATGTTAGTGCAGCATTATAGTTATTGGAGAATAACAGTATTGAACGGTTACTGGTTTTTTATTCAAACTGTGATAACCTACTTGAGGATACATAGGAAAATGGAAAACACGTCTCGTAGCTATAAAATATACTGATAGTATTCTCGAGTGACAGATATTCGGAGAATTAAGTACAAGCTTGGTAGAAACACGTTTATCCCATTGGAAAATAAATTCCTCATGTAAATCGAGTATTTCGTTCTCTTGAGAAACTTTGGAGAAAATCACCTATCCTTACTGATTATATTAGCATGTACTAAGTGTTTATATTACAATCGTCAACTTTGGGAAATTACAATAAAAATTAATTTTTTTTTAAATAGTCTTCCACGTTATTATCACCTGATTTATAACAAGTGGTAAAAGAGCCTTCTTACAATAAAGAATAAGTTAAAATTTTTTTACTGTTTTAAAAGTTGACAGTTCAGATGAATATTGGAAAAGCTTTGGATCGCAAAAAAAAAAATTTTTTTTCATAAATACTGTAATTTTTCTAACTTTTTCTACAAAACCATTAGTTTTTCGTAATCATGTAGGTGTAACCATGAAAAACACAAAACGATTGTATGAAAAAAAGCAGGTTGTTTTTTTTAAGAACCACAGTATTATTCGAATCAAAACAAAAAATACATGCAAACCAAATTTATACCATTTTATTACAAATCTAACAAGTTGTTGACGCAGTTCTTACGAACACAAAAAACAGTATAGATCAACATACCGATAAGAGAATGTAGAGATGATGTTACGACTGTGCTCATAAACACACTTAGATATTCCACTTCAAGGTCCGTCATGAGCAGGTCGGCTGAAACGAGTTAGATTAAAGAGTTCCTCTTTTACTCGATGATAAAATTCCTCTTTTACTTGATGGTAAAATTTTGATATTATCTCACGATGAAACTGATGGCATTTTCACAAATAACATCAAACGATTTGTCATGCATAAGCAAAAAATTGTAAGTATATACAATGAATTTAAGTGTACATAGTACAGAAAAAAAAAAAAAAAAAAAAATTCCCTCGCTCGCAACAATAGAAGCAATCGGTCAAGAATCTCGCCTTGGCTACCTTCTAAAGTTGAAAATAAAATACCTAATGAGTGTAAACACATATAATCGGCTCGGCTTGACCTTCCGCAGTCCTCTGGATCAGTGGCAAGATAGACACACCAATCACGAGAAAGATATAGTGAGATCATCGTTTCGGCGCAACATCCAGTCAACTTAATCATTTCTAATACAATTTTTGGTTTTTACGTGCCGTAGGACTAAAAGTTAAATTTTTTAATTAATAAATAAATACAACGAACAAATCCATAAATTACCCGTAAATCTTTCGGGTGTTTTTAAAAAATAATTATGTAGGTGCACGTAACACAAACATGTATGTACATAATATACAAGGAGTAAATGTCACAATGACCAGTCACATTATTCACGCGAGGGCCAACCAAAGTAGTGTGTGACTGGTCAGTATGCTACTTTTCGAAAATCTCTGGTATAATGTGTACACACTCACAACACACGTAGCAGTTTGTCGGAGAGAAGACGAGAAGAGAAATATAATAATAATAACTTAGTGACGCTGCCTTGGGAGGGAAGGAGGCTCTGCGGCGCGATCGGTTGGCTCGGACCATTACGGCAAGAGGTTTCAGTCGATCTCGAGCGCGCGAGTAAACGTGTACATACCTACTTAGCTGCAAGGCAGTGATCGTTATATTATTGGTAAGGTATCCTACGAGGGAGAATTGCAAGTGAGAGATGAGAGGAGTCCACTTCCTGATTCTCCTGCTGTCGCTGTCGCTGATAATCGGTAATTCGCCCCTTGTTTTATTTTCATTGGCCAAAGACTCCGTGAGTGTGAAAATTGTTGGTTTATAGGCGTGAAATAGTTGTATAGTCACCGGACGACAGAGGGTGGTAGGGTGCCGCGATTAATCGGTTTATCGTAAGATCGGCTATACCTAAAGAAAGGAAAATCGTTACTAAATTGACAGTTGCGGTTTACCGCTTAGGATTTCAACTTGAGCAATTTTTCTTTTATCACGGCAACAATAAAATTTGTGGTATAAATCGTAGTCATATCGAAATAAATCATTAATAGTACAAAACTTGTAGCAGTGAAAGTATCAATACAATATGCTTCGTTTGCCATGTGTGTTTGAAAAAAGGTTTAATTTTTAATAATTAAAATAGAAAACTTTTCGTCCAGTTCAAAGACTTAAATCTAATTGTATTAATAATGTATATATAAAAGTAAAATAATATTGTGAACTGCATATATTTACGTGGAAAGAAAAAACAACTCAATGGAGTGTAAAACACGTTGGTTTTTTTTTTTTTTTTTTGAACTCATTGCGAATTCAGTTCGGTTCTGATGAGTAAGCTATATCCTGCGTTCCTTGCTTGTGCACACACGAGCCTTTGTGCAATAAGTGCATGCAGGTCACTCAGCTCAAGACCAATGTCGCCTCAACTTGTTCTTCCAGCTGAAAAAATTTCGAGACTGCGGTCGAATTGCCGTGAACAAAAACGAATAGTTAACAAACAAACAAACAAAATAATAATCAAACTTAAAAACTGTGGCATTGTAAATATTTAGGACTGAGAAAAAATGTATTTGAAAATCTTGATTATCTTTTACATATATTTTTTTTATAGCACTAGAAAAATTTTATTTAAAAATACTAGTCCAAAATGCTAAATAAAGACTAAGGCAAGCTATTTATTTCTTTCTATTTCGTTTATGCTACACGTACCACACAATCCACGGTCGTACTAAAATTTATATCGCGATAACCTTATTTCATAAAGTTCATTGCATAGAATTATCAACATATCCCATTCGCAAAACATTCTAATGTAATCACCAGCCACGTGACCTCTTTTTTTTTTTTTTTTTAATTTTCAACTACATACAAAATCCATCTTCGTTCTTCAATTTTCGCTATATTTTTTTTATAACTGCACATACTATTAAATAAAACGAATAAAAATAAAATCACTTGTAACAATAATTCGGATAATTTATACATTCGTAAGATACCATAGTATTAAAAAATATCTGAAACGAATCCAAAAGCACTAAAATCGAGAGTATAATAAAAAAAAAAAAAAACGCGATCACCTGCTCCGCGACCATCAGTAGTTGTATACAGTGGATGGAGAGAGTAAAATGTTTCGTTTTCCCGGGCGTCAGACTCGTCGAGCGCAGGATGGAAGTTCTGGAAGAATAAAAAAGACAAGGACAACAAGGACGAGCCAGTGTCGCCGGATGCCGCGAGCTCGCCCGAGACCAGCTCCACCACGACGACAACCACGACCACAACCACGACCGCAGCTCCGTCCTCGACGACCTCCTCGTCAGGATGGAAGTTCTGGCAGAAAAAGAAGAATGACGAGTCCTCGAGCACGGCCGCGCCGAAATCAACGACCACCAGAGCCACACCAACGCCGAAAGGCAGAACCACCAGCGCGACTCCGGCCAGCGCCAACAAGGGCATAGCCTCGGCCGCGGACCCAGCCCTGGCCATCGGCGTCGGCAGCGTCGGTGGAAAGATACGCGAGGACGCCAACAACCAGCCGCGCAAGCTCAACCCCGGCGAGCCCAACAAACCCAGCCGTCCCGGCACCCACAAAGACTGGGCGGCCGACTTTGCCGGCGCCGAGCGAGGCGGACCACCTCCCAAAGTGCCCGCCCAGGCACCCGATGCACACGCTGGTTCGTATCGCAAACCAAAGTATACCTAATGCAAAATTATCTTTGTTCCCAAACATTGTACGTATGCGTTTCTCAAACGGTTGATTAGGTAGCCGGCCGGCTTCCGTCCCGGGAACACCGGCAGCTGCAGTGACTCACCAGCAGTCGACTCCGGCGCCCGGTAAGTATATGTATTTACGCCCATGGTGAGGAGCAATGTTGAAAAATGTATGATCTGCTTGTACCCACAGGTGATAAAAGACCGCTTCCAGCCAAGCCCGTGACTGCCCAGTCGAGCACCACCCACAGACCGACACTCGCGCCCGTTTCGATAGCCAAACCGACCCTTGCCCCAGTGGCACCATCCTCCACGGCTAAACCTACCGGCACGAGAACCTGGGCCGACGTGGCTGGCGGTGGTAAAAGCCCCAGCTCGACTCCAACTAAACCTGCCCACGGACCGTTTGGTAATTCATCACCATCTTTTTCTCATTTCCAAAGACTCGTTAGTTCGGTACAGGTGCCTCCCGAACAAAAGCCGGTTTTTGTCGACACGAGCTAATGAATATGTAATAACTCATGAAAACGCCTAAAGATCGTTTTGATACTGTAATGTTGTAGTGTCCCGTGCCGATGAATATATTAAAAAGGGGGGACGCCGCATTTATCTTCTTTTAGTATTGCATTAGGAAGAGGAAAAAATGTGAGGAAACGAAAAAAAAACGAAGATTTATGTATACGGATAAAATTTACAGAGTACCCGCATCCCGGGAACAAGCCTGGCGACCAGCCGACAACGGCCAAGCCATCGGGACTGTCACCAGGTGCGGTGGTAGCCGCGGGTGGTGCGGCCGCGGCGGCGGGGACGATAGAGGCCAACGCCGGCAAATCGACATACCAGATGAATCCGGTGTACAGCAAGGGTATCGGAGTCACCGACGAGGACCTGGAGAAGCTCTCCGAGGCTCTCTTCCTGAGGGACGTGAACAACGCTTACAAGTACATCACCCTCAACTTGCAGAAAAAAACCAAGAGCAGCAACCCCAAGGACGAGGCTCCCGAGCCGTAAGCTATATCTCTTCGATTGTAGGGGACAAGTGACAACATGTACATGTTTCAGGCTTCTCACGGTAAAGCCGGAGGCCCTCAAGATCCCGACGATAGAGCGCGTGCTGTCGATCTACGACAACTACAAACTGAACACGAAGGAGAACGAGGTGATAAGTCCCCTGCAGCGCGAGGAGGAGAAGAACCTGGTCGACACGTTCCTCAGCACTAACGTCATGAGCCACGCGATGCGCTTCCTCGCGGACAAGGGCTTTGTCCAGAAGAACCACTACGTGTACCACGACATACTTCGCCAATTGTGGTTCAATCTGTACTCGAGGGGCGGTGGATTGAGGACCAGCACGGGCTTCGAGCACGTCTTCCTCACCGAGCTTAAGCTGGGCACCGAGGTATCCGGGCTGCACAACTGGATTTACTTCAACGCCCAGGAGCTCAACAAGAAACTCGACTACCTCGGCTACATCAAGAAGATCGACCTTGGTGACGTGAGTTGGCCCTTTTTTTTACGATATTCTCAACAGTTACTTTACCGTAATTTTTCTACTCACACTAATCAGAGCTGATCTACAAATGAGATTACTTAACTTTGGTGAATTTGATAAATTTGTCGATTCAAAGGCTTGGAAAAATTTTGATTATTTTTGCAACGAGTTTTAAAATAATTTTTATTGCAATGTACTACTTTTGTTGAATATTGAAAGCAATGGAAAAGAAAGTTTTCACTCGATGTTTGAACGATGTTTTCCAGAAAGCGGCAATTGTGAAACTGCACATGAGGTACGACGGCATCGATAAGCCGGTGACCAACATTTTCGTGGGCACCTCGCCGGAGCTCGAAATGGCCCTCTACACCATATGCTTTTACGCGAGGCCCGACACGCTGTGTCCTGTCTCCCTTGGCGGCACCAAGTTCAACATCATCACCCACAAGTTCACCTACAGGAGCCGCGCCCACATTGGCTCGGCATATCCAAACATCTAAGCTACACTATACCATGTGCACAATAATTAAGACCGTGATTTTTTTTTATTTTTATTTTTTTTTTTTTTCGATCTCTCGACGCTTTGGTGATGGATCAAAGGAAAAATACTGTATTTAAAAATCATAAAATTATCCAATTACGTGAGAAAAATTGAGCGCAAAAAAAAGGGTGTCTTTCTGTTTTGGAGTACACGCGATGCTGTTGTCAATAAATAGCAACTGTGATCTAATGGAGATTATTACCAATAAAATACAAACATGACTGTAACTGTATGAAAAAAAGAAAAGAAAAAAAAATCCTAAAGGTACATTTTTTTTACGCCCATCCACGCTTTGTCCTATATAACATCGTGAAATTCCCATTGGTATATAACACACTCCCCCCCCTCTCCCCCCGATTCAATGTGATATACCTACGTAACAGAATCATCGATGGCAAACGAACACCACGTGACTCAATCAAAGAGCGAAAGTCATTCACCCTCGGTATTGCGAGCATATAGGAAAACCATACATAATGTAAGACTTAAAAAAAATTTATACGCGTTAATTGAATTTATCCAAGTGAAAAAGTATACTTCCAGAATTTGTGAAATAAACGACGAGCCAACAGATGATAAATTAATACTCGCATACCTACGGGACGCGCATCGAGATATATAATATATGTGCAAACAGATAACGATTGTTTATCGTCGACAACAAAAAATGTATGGATATCTCTGCCCCACTCGATTACGAAGAGCCCCTCCCCCCATGCCCAAGGCCCGCTCGAGATAACATCTCTCTCTTTCTCTCCGCACCCGTAGTTATATATTTATTTATCTGGCGTGTGGACGACAATCATTAACAATGATGCCCCAGTCGTGACAGAGTACTTTGCTCGTAGTGTTTGCTACGGTTTTGTTTGCCAGACCGGCGGAAAAAAAAACTCGGATGTACTCGTACACGATGCACAGGAACCTCCGACTAGTGTCCGTGGGGCTATCCTGGAGGGCCTACCACACCGGACCGGCGGGCGTGTACGGGCACCGCGAGAAACTGCCCCGGCGACCGTTCGAAGGCAGGTATACACGTGCCCCCCGACGACCGCACATACCATCCAAAATATACACGTAACGTTTAATAAACCCTCTGCCCCAACAGTGCCGAGATCCGAGGTGGAGGCTCGCTCGAGGTACAGCAACTTTTACCGGCTCGTCGGGGCGTACCGCGAGCACGGCCACAAGCAAGCGAGCGTCGACCCAATCGCCCTGTCCCAGCCGCGCCGTCCGCTTTCGGAGCTACGACCCGAGCGTTACGGCCTCGACCTCGACGAGCGCGTTTCGGGCTTGGACCTACTGGTGCGCGCCGGACGCGACGAGGCCAGCGTGGCCGAGGCCCGCGACCTTCTCGACCAAGTCTACAGCGGCAGCCTCTCGGCCGAGTTCAGCTATCTCGAGGTGAGCGGGACGACACCACCACCACCCCGGTATTTTTGATTAATGTATAAACAACTCCGCCATGTCGTGCGATGTCCTAGAGCGAGGAGGAGCGGGAATGGTTCGCGCGGAAGTTCGAGGAGTGCCACCTCGAGGGCCTCGGCGACGGGACGAGGCGAGCGGTGGCCAGGGAGATGCTCAGGAGCCAGGCGTTCGACAAGTTCTTGGCCATCAAGTTCGTCAGTCTCAAGAGGTACGGGGCCGAGGGTGCCGAGAGCACGATGGGCTTCTTCCATGAACTGTTCGAGCTGTCGAGAAACGGTGGGTCAAAACTATATTGTGTAGACGAGAGGACCAAATATAACATTATACATACGATATAATTATGTGGTCGCAGACACGCTGGAGGAGCTCGTGCTGTGTATGCCGCACCGTGGCCGGCTGAACTTGCTGACGGGGATGCTGGGACTGGCCCCGGAGAAGCTGTTCCGCAAGTTGCGTGGACTGCCCGAGTTTTCCGGGGACGCGAGGGCCACGGGCGACGTAGTCAGTCACTTGGTCTCTTCGGCGGAGCTGGGTCCTGGGTTGAGCGCCAGCGTTCTGTACAATCCGTCCCACCTGGAGGCGGTGAACCCGGTGTCGATGGGCCGGGCTCGGGGTCTCATGCAGCATCTCCGGGATGGCGACTATTCCAATGAGCCGGGCGCTCGCTGGGCCGACCGGGTGCTCAATGTCCAGGTCCACGGGGACGCTGCATACCCCGGTCAGGGGATCAATCAGGAGTGCCTGGCCCTCACTGGAGTCCCGCACTTTGAGATCGGAGGGACGATACACCTCGTGGTTAACAATCAGGTTGGCTTCACGACCCCAAGCTCCAGGGGCAGGTCCTCGAGGTACTGCACGGACCTCGCCAAATTTATCGCGGCGCCGGTTCTTCACGTCAACGGGGACGATCCGGAGGTAGGTGGATGTAAGTTACTCCGAGAGCTTATACACGAGATCCGTTTCGTGACACACGGCAAACTCATGTTGCGTGGGGGTTCATCAGATGGTCGTGAGGGCAACTAGGCTGGCTTTCGGGTACCAGAGGGAGTTCCGGAAGGACGTATTTGTCGACCTGAATTGCTTCCGGCGCTGGGGACACAACGAGCTCGACGACCCCACCTTCACAAATCCCCTCAGATACAAACTAATCAACAGCCGGCGGTGTGTACGTGCACTTTGTCGTATTGACGCTTTGGTGGACGACAATTTTGCGATTTCAGATCGATACCTGACCGTTACCTGGACGAGCTGTCGAGGAAAAGCGTTATGAGCGCGGAGGAGGGCGAGGCGATCGTCAAGGAGCACTGGGCCCAGCTGACGGAGGCACTTCAGCGGGTCGACGACTACGTGCCCCAACCGAGCTACTTCGCCGGGCGCTGGTCCCAGCTGGGACAGGCGGACTCGAGCGTGACGACCACCTGGGACACCGGGGTCGAGACGAGTCTCTTGCGCTTCGTCGCGAGCATGAGCGTCAGGTGCCCGGACGAACTGGTATGTTAAGCGCTCGACGCTCCTACACTGACGATTAAGAGATACTGTTTGTGTACGAAAAGAACGTGCATCCAACGCTACTCAAGTCCCACGTGGCGGCCCGGCTGAAGCGGCTCGAGGAGGACGGGCGGAGCATAGATTGGTCGACGGCCGAGGCCATGGCCTTCGGGAGTCTGCTTTACCAGGGCTACAACGTCCGCGTGAGCGGTCAGGACGTAGGCCGGGGCACCTTCTCGCAGCGGCACGCGATGCTCGTGGATCAGTCGACCGGCGACATCTTCATCCCGATGAACGCGATGCTCGAGGGACAAGTTGGAAAACTCGAGCTGGCCAACAGCATACTCTCGGAGGAGGCGGTGCTGGGGTACGAGTACGGGCTGAGCATCACCCTGCCGAACTGCCTGGTCGTCTGGGAGGCACAGTTTGGGGATTTCTTCAACGGTGCCCAGGTGATCATCGACGCGTTCGTCAGTAGCGGCGAGACCAAGTGGATGACCGCCAGTGGCCTGACGATTCTGCTGCCGCACGGGTACGACGGTGCCGGGCCCGAGCACACCTCCTGCAGGATCGAGCGCTTCCTGCAACAGACGGACAGCAAGGAGGACAGCCCTGACTCGGACCACGTCAACATGCAAGTTGTCAATCCGACCACGCCAGCGCAGTACTTCCATCTTCTCAGGCGACAGGTTGTATTTGTTTGATTTTGGTGTGGTGTCGAACTAGGCTTACAAACGGACACTCGAGTTGCATAATTTTTTTTTTTCTTCATATACTTTGTTATTATTGTTTTTGAAACCATACAAGTTAACTTATGGTACACAATTATGAGGATTGATTGTTTTAATGGGCTCGTGACAGATGGTGAGAAACTATAGGAAACCACTGATTATCGTTGCCCCAAAGACGCTACTCCGACACGTCTCGGCCACGTCGTCGTTGGACGAGATGGCTCCAGGCACTATTTTCAAGACTGTCATAGGTAATACACGTACGAATGACGTTTTTCACATGGAATGGCTCGTGATGATGGCATTTTTTTTTTTTTTTTTTTTTTTTTTTTTTTTTTTNTTTTTTTTTTTTTTTTTTTTTTTTTTTTTTTTTTTTTTTTTTTCAGGAGATGAAAAGGTGAACGAGGACGCTGTTCGTAAAGTTATACTGGTAAGCGGGAAGCATTACTACGAGCTTGAGAAGCGCAGGGAAGTGCTCGGAGCTCGGGACGTGGCGATAATTCGAGTCGAGAGCTTGTGTCCGTTTCCCGTGGCCGAGATCAACGAGGAAATTCAGAGATACACAAATGCAAAGGGTTAGTGTTTTTGTTTCCTTGGATTTTGCTGAAAATAATCTTAATAACAAATGATTGCGTTGTCGATATAGTTTTCATTTGGAGTCAGGAGGAGCCCCAAAACATGGGTGCGTGGAATTTTATGAAAATCAGATTTGAAAATCTTTGTGGGCACAAGGTACGTGTATTATATACATCTAGCGAGTGCAAACTACGCGAGGGATCTTTGTCGTAATCATACTTAAAGATGAATTAATGTTTTTTAGTTACGTTACTCTGGGCGAGAGCCTCTAGCAACGTCAGCTGTTGGCATTGGACAGTTGCATCAACGTGAAAGCGAAGAAGTCGTCGTTAAACCGTTTGCAATGAAATAAAGTGCAAATTCAAGTTATTGCTCATGATCTATAATACGTTGATATTGTAATAAAATTTATTTTTTGAATAAAAAGTGATAAAAGTTTTTAAAAAATTACAATTTGTAAAATAAAATCTTTTTTTTCAATTTCGCGGTTTACAACATTGCATTATTTATGTTATGAATCTTGTAATGGAATATCTGCACAGTCTTGATAAAAATTTAAGTGTAATGATCAATGGTACACAACATAAGAAAAATTAAATATCTACATTTACTTTGAAAATATGGTATTTTTAAAATGTATGTACAAAGCTCGCCCTTCTATCTTTTAGTTATAAATATTAATCATCGTGGAACGAGAAATCTTATATTTTTAAAATTTCTACAGCAAGAAAGGTATGCTGTTTTTTATCGATAATTTAAATTAATTACAAACTAATTCTAATCTTTGCCAATAAAAATGTTGATTAAGCTCGAAACCATTCATTTTTAGTGTTGAATGTTTAAAAAATTCTTCCAATAAAATACAAATACTAGTATTACAAGTTACTTGCTTTTTCATTTTGACATCGACGATTTTCTTTTTCCACCAAATCCTTCAACTGTGCCTAAAATATAATTATCGATCATGATTTTTAGTTATTTTCAAGCAATCTAATTACGATATTATTTTACTCACTGTTTCGCTGTCCAATTTTTTATGTTCTTTCGTAATAAGGTCGTTCAATTCCTCCTACAAAAGTGTTAATATGAAATATATTCAAAATTTTTTCTGATATACTACAATGTACAGGTAAGTAAACGACATACTTTCCAGCCAAGCTTTCCAGCTAGCAACTGACATCCTGCATCACAGTCACCCAACCAAGCCACATCTCTGGCATTTGGTGAATCAAAATTCATACCGCTATTTATACCCAAGAATCTTGATAATCTGTCAGCCATTCCAACTTTTTCCTTGTTTATAAGCAATCTCGGACAACTGCCTTTGACCCTACAATGTTATTGACAGAGAGAGAGAGAGAGAGTGATAAAAATATGTACAAATATATAGAGAATTCAGGAAATTACCTATCCACTAGGGATGCAAATGGTTGAACGAGTAAGCTGGAGCCCATGATTATTAAAAGTTCTGCTTGTGGAAAGTCCTGCTCAATCAGTTTGTGAAACTTATCTGGTAACATTTCTCCAAAGAAAACAATATCAGGTTTTACAACTCCTTCTGTGCATTCTTCACATTTTGGTATCGTAGCTTCTTTTATTTTTTCTATGAATATTAACAGAAAGTGAATTTGAATGTGAGAGACATCAGAATATAATTATCCACGAAGCTTGAATTACCCTTCATCCAAATTAAATCGAATGGAGCTCGACAGTCGAGACATCGACCAGTGTGAAATGTACCGTGAGCTTCTACTAGTTTTTCTTCTGGTAATCCAGCCACTCTTTCTAAGGTATCGATGTTTTGAGTGTAATGCCTCAAAAGTAGTCCCTTCTCATGTAACAGACGTATGAAATAGTGACTCGGTGTTGGTTTGTATCCCTCAGGAAGTAGTTCTTTTGCAAGTGCAAAAAATGGTTCAGGATTCGTTTTGAAAAAGTCCAATTCAAAAATAGCCTGAGGATGGGGTAAATTGTACTTTTCCAAGTTGTGATACAGTCCACTCTTCGGAGAACGAAAGTCGGGGATTCCAGCAGCTACGTTTACATATATTGGAATAATATTGTATATAGAATACGTTATAAGTATATAGAAATTACAAGTAATGACAAACTTACAGGTTGATATTCCAGCACCAGCCATAGTAATTATTTTTGTGACATTGTTAGTCTTTATAAAATCAACAATCCCATCTACTGTTGTGTCTTCAAGAACCTTCTCTCCGGGTTCATGACTGGACTCAAAAATATGTAACTTTTGCTCCAAAAATTTGCGAATTTTCTCCATTCCTGAATCTGAATTTTTTGCACCTTCCACCAAATCAGTTAAATCCACAGATGAACTTGAACTGTCATGCTCCGAGGCACTGCTGTCTAAAAAAAATGTCATAGAAGGTTGTGTTGCTCCAAAAACTGAAACTTTATGCGCAAAATTAAAGTTTGCAGAAAATTACCTTTTTTCTCCTTTTTGATTTCTTTGTCTTCCATTACTCGAAATAACGAAGAGAAATTTACCGCAGATATCTTATTCAACAACGATCGTACGACACCGTGCGATCTATAAAAGGAAAGAATGCATAACTCAGACCTATTGATCATGCATAAAGTACTTAAGTATCTCGGAATTAAACCAATTTACATAAAAAAATTTGCACTGTCGGACTGTCACTTCCACCACTTCTGCTCTACTAGCTGCTGTGGGGTGCGGGCTGCAGGGTGCAGGGGGTCCTGGGGGTCTTTAATGCCAACTGCCAACGAGTGAAGTGAAAATTATTGCGCGTGTTACGTTACCAACACAACAGCCTTGATTTATTCGAACGTGTTTTTCAATGCGTTTATCGAGAAATTAGTAAATTATTAGTTTTAATCAAGATATATATTGCTTTGATTGTAAATTTAATTGTAAACCTCTCTGTTATTATAACACTATATTTGTATCTAATCGTCTGGCCGATTTTTAAGTTTCGCGGCAAGTTTACTGTTGTCGAATCACCGACAGCCCTCATATCGTCCAATCAGTGGAGTCGTACACACTAGAGAGAGAACTTGGAGTCAACGTAACCTCAATATTGTCTTTCATGTCGTGAATCCACGAAAGAGGTAATCATCGCTACGGCATCATATCATATACTTAAAGTTTTTACGATTTTTTCATAATTTTTTATTAACTTTTATACAGTTTACAAAAATAACTTTCTGCAACAACTAAAAGTTTTTTCGTTAATAAATTCGTAAAGTACTTGTAAATATTTAAGAAATGCATTACACGTGGTGATTCTATTATTTCTCTTTTCGCATTTGTTACTCGTAGCAAAATTGTGTGGATTTGTTTTTGCTACAACTACTTTGTTTACAGGTATAAAAACAGTCAAGATGCAACTGTTCATCAGAGGACAGGAGACGTTCGTCGTCAACTGCGAGGACAACGATACCATTGCCCAGATTAAGGTTAGACTTTGCCTTCCTCACGTGGATACACACCACAACACTTGAAAGATTATGAACTTTTAATGTAAAAGAATGATACCTGATGGAACTGATAACATTTGAGTTAGTTTTCTTGAATCTTGAGTTTTTTTACCTACCAAAATATTAATAGAGTAAGGCATTACATGATAACCTGACAATTGTATTTAACAGCAGTGTCAGTACGAGCAATAATGCCAGAGTAAGTGGGAATCTCAGGGAGTTGGAAGCTGATCAGTAGCTTCTGATTTTTCATAGATTTTCAACAACAATAATCATTTTAGTCCATTCTTATCAAACAATTTATGAAACTGATGCTAAAACAATATAATCTTTTTTCTACAGGCTAAGCTCTTGGCTTCGGAAGATATCACGAAAGACTGCATACTTTACTGCGCTGGTGCACCACTTAATGATGATACATGTGTGAATGACTTGACGACAAATACCATTGAAGTTAATGAAGGTCTGCTTGGAGGTAAAGTGCACGGTTCACTTGCTCGTGCCGGTAAAGTAAAGGGACAAACACCCAAGGTAAGATCAACTTAGATTTGCTCATTAAATAACATAATGGTCCCATCATGGGAGATTACTTTTTTCTGCACTGTTTGATCTAAGCTGCTGTTTTAAACTGATGAAAAGTAGTAAAATAGCAGTGCCAGAGTAAAAAACAGATTAAAGTGAAGTAGAGGTGTTAATTAAGCTTTACTTTTCATTCATCTGTAACAAAAGTCATTAAAATTAATAATTTTAAATAGCACATATTGTACGAATGAAACATTTCTAAAAATGGCTATTATATTTTTAGGTTGAGAAACAAGAAAAGAGCAAGAAAAAGACTGGACGTGCTAAGAGACGTATCCAGTACAACCGCAGATTTGTCAATGTTGTACAGACATACGGACGAAGACGTGGACCAAATGCCAACCCCAACTCATAAACATTCTATTTATTTTTAAACACCGAATGTTTGTTACTTTAAGATTGCGCATCGCGTATTTGTAATATTATTTGTAAACCGAAAGTAATAATACAAATCACGTCATGCAACACTTATTTCACTATTTTTTAATAAAAATTAAACAATTCTCTCCATAAAGTATGTCCTTTTTGTTAATCCTTGAAATCCAACTAATCTGTTATGTTAAAGAAATACTGTGCCATTTGACTATCAGCACATTACGTGTATATATGAAGTCTTGGCTAGTTGGCTGAGAATTATGACAAAAATTGTCATACGAATCCATTTTCTATAGTAGGTAATTGCCGTATTTCATTACAAACAGCCAAGTGCGTTATTTGTATATAATTTTTAAAAATGATAAAAAATTTTTCGCTTATTTAGAGTAAAAAAATGTGTCCCCATGAAAATTCGATTATAAATAAAAAAAATTATTACCGATTGAAATACAATTTTTCAATCGCTATTGCATTGGAATTACAAAAACCGGGGTAATACAATGTCGATATAATCGCTAGAAAATCGTTTTACCTGTGGATTAAATATTTTAAATACAAAATTTGCAGGCTTCATTTATGGATAGTCTTATTATGGTATTGTTTAATGTTTTGTAAAAGAAAAAAAAAATTATTTTCCACATGCTGACACTAGCTGATGAGATACACTTATTTGCGTCAATGTAGAATTATAAAAGGTTTTTTTTTTTTGTACAATTCTATCTAGGCATGTGTTCTTAAGTGCTTATACGCATATATTTTAACATCCAAAAAAATAATGCAATACTACTTAGATTTACGCGCATGAAAAGGAATAAGCCGAATTTTTTCGAAAAAATCATCAAAATTTTATCACCGAAATCACGCGGGTAACACTACTACTGGAGAAAGCCTTTCTCAGAAAGGCGGCCAGCCGCACAGCGCGCGCACACTGCACACATACACGTATATTTATATGTGTAGTAGGTAGGTGTGCGCGAGCCAATTCAACTGTCCGATGTGCATTTTTTGGATCGGCAATCCTGCTCACGCTTGTTCTCGTACACGTGTTGTTTTTTTCGTTGATCCATTTGACCTTTAAGTTAACACCCTTTACTATAGGTATTGAGATTCAAGCAAGTGTGAGTACATGACACTAAGGTTTTACGTGTCGGAGTTAAGATTTATTTAAATATACGTTTGTGTATCCAAAATCGCGAGCAACATGCCACGCGGTGCTCGCGACTCTGACGAGGAATCAGAACCCAGAAGCTGTGAGTACCTAATTAATTAATTATCATACGTGTACATTTAGCCTCGTTGGTGTTTTCTCGCTGCACCTAAGCAGATATACTTTTAATTCACTGAAAACTGAAGTATTTCAATGTAACTGTTACACAATCATGTACAATAAGTATGTCTGTACCTACTAATGTGCGCGATGCTTTTTCATACAAACATCCTAGTATCGATCAAATTAATTAACCCCCTGTAAGTGCTTCGATTTAAACATCATCAAAGTTCGTTGCTAGCAGATTATCGAGACTTGCCTTGGTACAAAACAGGCTATTGCCGGTATTTTGCCCGCCTTTCCTATTGTCTGTCTTAACGGTCGTTTTTCGCCACGCGACTAACCACGACCATTTAACAAACGTCTACCGGCTAATGATACTGTCGTGCCCCTAAGTTCGATTCCTCGAGAAATAATCATTTTAACTAATTTTAAATTTCACCGTTAAACTATGGCCGCTGTACTGTTGTTTTGTTTCGGCATTCGTTTTTTGTTTTTTTTCTTTTAAGGCTATGACTACCCCCCCCTCCCCCACAGTAAACTCTGACACTCGGGCATGGAGACCTAGACAAGTTACTATATGTTAACGTCTGTTTCTGTTTATATCGATGGACATGCAGCAACTGTTAGAAGATCAACGAGAGTTCTGACTAGCGCGAGCGTCACAGATTCGCCAGTTCGGAGGAGCACGAGGATCATCAACAAGCAGATTTCCGACAACTCCTCGCCGGATTCGGTTACCTCGGACGCCAGTACAGTCATCGGGCGCACGCTTCGCAGTAGGCCTGCCGTCACGAGAAGCATGAGGTCAAGAAAGACTTCGGCGTCCTCGGATGTCAGTGAAATTTATGAAGTGGACGACATCGCGCCAAGGAGGGTTAGCACTAGGAGAAGGAGTTCCCTATCGCAGAACCCAGTTGCCACCCCAACGACCACCGCTAGATCGTAAGTATTACGAACTTTCTTTGTTTTTTTTCTCTAACCAGAAGCATTTTTCATTGTGGACAGAGTATTTATAATCTATATGAATGTTTCTCAGGCGTACTCTTAGAGCAGGTTCCGAGACAAAGTCCACACCTACGGTAACGAGGAATAAAAATGTAACCAGAGCCAGTTCACTTGATTATCAGGGTAACGAGTTGATTGCGACCCCTGCAAGACGCCGAACTAGAGCTTCTATTGTACCAGCTGAACCTACCGTCAAGGAGGAAGAACAAACTAAACTGTCTAATAAAACTTTGGAAAATACTGTTATCCAAGAAGATAGTGGTGGTAAGATCCTTATACTATTCTCATCTAATTATTTCAATTTTAAAATGGCGATGCTTAATATTTTTTTCAATATCATTAACAGAATCTTCAAGTGATGAAGAACCCGTTCACAGATTAACAAAGACCACTAAGGAAGCAGAAAAAAATACCAAAGGTAAATTTTAAAATTTTTTTTTTTTTTCCTGTAGTAAAATTTTTTTTTTTTTTTTTTTTTTTTTTTTTTTTTTTTTTCTTTTTTTTCGTAAAAATTCTCTATTTAGATAAAATACGATATGGAGTAATCCTTGTTATGTATTGTTTTAGCCGATGAAGAAGATTTCACTGATTCGGAAAAGCCTTCGTTGAACTCGGCTAAAAAATTGGAAAAAAGTTTGACCGATAAATCGAGCAGCTGTAATGAAAATAGTAATGAGTCAACTACCAAAACAATTGTCACGCAAACTAGTAAGAGTACGTCAGAACCTTTATTAAGTGCATTAGATTCTAATGAATGCAGCAGAACAATGAGTGATTTACATTGCGATTTGTCACAACAAACTGGTGCGACAGAACCGAATTCGTTAGTTTTGTTACGTGATAAAAATCATAGTCTAGCTGATACTATTAGCGTAATCACCCTTGATAATGATTCGAACGATGATGAAAATGAAATTATTGATGTTGTAAAAGTAACTGAATCGGTTATGGCCAACATGCCCACGAAAGAAGCCGACGACATTTATGATAAACCCTATAATGACCAACCGGAGGAAAATGACGTAAATACTAAAAAGATAGATATTAAAAATGCATACGTTAAATTGAAGCGAATAGAAAAACATTTTGAGAAAGTTGATGAAAATTTAAAAAGTAACGACGTTACCGAAAGTCAACCAAACGATGACACAATTACTAAGATACCGAAGACGAAGACAGCCGTAGTTGTAGTCGCTGATTGTGTCCCAAAACTTCCTAAACATGATCCTGTGCAAACTGACATAGAAGAAATTCTACCACCATCCACAGAATCCATAGGTAATGTTGAATCCTCTAATGATGTTATAAATGTCGAAAGCGAAGTTTTAGTAGATGTAGATAGTGGTAGTGAAGGTAGTATATACAAAATGTCGGTTGATGATGAGGATGATGAAGAACCATCAGTTTCTATCATTGACGTTCAAAATAAATCTGAGAATCGTGCTCATTCTAACACTGATTTTCAAAATCATGAAAAAGATATATCTTTTAATAACAAATACAAAGTATCAATGGAAATTTCTTGTAACGACTGTGAGTCAATTTTACCAGATATTAAATTAGTCGATCATGTAAAAGACGACACATTTCTTGTTAATGTTAAAAATAACGAATTAAATACGTCTGATAAAGAAAACACGGTTGTTATGCACGAAAGTAAGACCGAAACGGAAAAACTTGATGTTTTGCCTTCAAGTAAATATGAAAATAAGACTATTTCTCCCAGCTATAAACATAAATTATTTTTTCCGACACAAATTGACACAACTAAAATTTCTATAAAAAATAACCCCTTTAAAAATAAAAATCCGATTGAAATAGTACTTTCCGATGATGAATCTGACAATATGTCTATTATAGCAGAAATCAACTCGTTTATTAATGATAAAGAAATTTCTTCACCTCTAAACGTCAAAGGATGTGAATCAATAATGACTGGTGAAGAAAGTTCGTCTATAAATACTGAAAATGAAAATATAAAAGATATTTCAAGTTCTGAATTAGACAATTATGATCAGGCGGTATCGGACGAACATAAAGAGAACTCTGATTCCAAAGAAGTCAATAGTTGCGACGCGAATGTTTTTAACAGTAAAAGTAATGATAAAATAATATCTAGTCAAACTCATGTTGAAGACTTTACAAATACCGAAAATACCAAATCATTACATAAACTAAACGAATTTTCCGTGACTGAAAATAACAAAAATATCAGTTTCCTAACCAAAGTACCTCATGATGAGGCAAATTCAAATCCTATTGAAATCATAAGAAAATCGGAAAATGTAGATTTACATATCAAAAACGATAGAAAAGGTAGTTGTGATGAAATGGAATGTTCCTTGCCCGCTGATGAAAATTATCAACAGGAACAATCGATTTCTAAAATTTCAGATGACCCGGATGTCAAAGGTTTAAACGATTTTGATAAAAGAGACGGTGATTTAATAACTAATGATAAAGAAATTCCAACACCAACTTTTGAAAATAAAATATGTAAAATTGAAGAACCGGCTGATGTAACGGTCTCAATTGTCGGAAACACTGAGGAAACTCAAAATTTGAAATCGGTTGATCAAAGTAACATTTCCATCGCAGAGTCGGGTTCAATTACTGAAAATGAGAAAAATATTAAAATTGTAATACAAAAAAATGAAGCTGAAATAAAAGAGACGAGGGTAAATGAAATAAGTCCCAAAGTGAAAGAATCATGTTTAAACAGTAAAAATATTGATGAACTCTATGACTCTGACAATATAAAACAGGTCAACGAAAAAACTGAAAATTCGGTATCTGTCGACAGTTTCGATACAAAAGAAACAAAGTTGGGTTCTGCAACTGAAATCTGTGATAAATTAGAAAATTCTGTTACGATTAGTCAAATGTCAATTGTCACCAACTATAATGATAATGTTGAAAGTTCTAGCATAGTTGAACAAGATGTTGAATCCAAAGACATCACACCCCTTACAAAATTCAACAGTCCGATAAAAACTTCAAAACCCTTGGTAGAATTTTGCGATACCTCTAGCACGGAAGTTGACCATTCTAGTATTTATTCCGCTAACAAAGTTGAAATGAAAAAAGAAATAGTTACAGCGAACGAAACTGACATCTGTGCTAAGCCGGTATCCAATAATAACGATACTGATGACCCACATTCAGAACATATGGATAGCTCAATTAATAAAACTGGCCTTAACGAAATGCAAAAAATTCATGTTACTGATGAGACTGACTCAAAAATAATCAAAAGCAACATCATATCTGGTGAGGATAAAAATAGTGTATCTTCTGCTGTTACAGAAAATGACGAGGATAATGCGACATCTTCACCAGAAGAAAAAGAAGAGCGTCCTGTCGATCAAGTGCCCGAAAAAATCACACTGGCCAAGAAAACACCTGTGCAGGAACTGAAGAAAGACGCAGACAAGCTTAAAAGCAAGGTACCGGAGAGCGATAATGAGAACTCTGTGAAAGAATTGTTCCGAGATATTCCGGCCGATGAGTGGTCCGATAAGTCTAAAGTGCAAAATGGGGACAGAGATACGGTTAAAAAATCTTTCGTCCAGGAAAGCGAGGAAAAATCAAAAAATAATCAAAGAAATTCGTGTGGAAGAAAATCACTGAGTCAAGAGAGCAATGTCTCTAACGTGCCAAGTCCAAAAGCAATTGAGTCGTTTTTAAAAATGTCTCGTCAGTCACTGGAAAAAAAACAAAATAACAGCAATGAACTTGATGAAAATTACCAAGTGGAACAACACGATGATTCAAACAATCAAGAGTTAGACAAGACCGTAGGAGATAACGTTGTTGTTGATGCCGGTAGCGATGATGAAAATGAAGATAAATCTTGTCAAGAAGAAAAACCACTTGAACAGTCTGCTTCAAAAGAATTACTGACCACATTAAACTCTTCTGCATCCTCCCAAAAAGGACGCAAATCATTGAATAAGTCTTTGCAAGCTAGAAAGTCGTTATCAGAACTTCAAGATGTAGAAAGTGAATCAGATGAGTCTGTTTCGAAACAATTGGCCACGTTAAATTCTTCTATTTCCTCCCAAAAAGGACGCAAATCATTAAACAAGTCTTTACAAGCTAGAAAGTCGTTATCAGAACTTCAAGATGTAGAAAGTGAATCAGATGAGTCTCCTTCAAAAGGACTATTAGCTACATTAAACTCTTCTGTTTCCTCCCTAAAAGACCGTAAATCGTTAAACAAATCTTTGCAAGCCAGAAAGTCGTTATCAAAACTTGATGATGTAGAAAGTGAATCAGATGAGTCTCCTTCAAAACAACCATTGGCAGCATTAAACTCTTTCGCTTCCCCCAAAAAAGGACGTAAATCATTAAACAAGTCTTTACAAGCTAGAAAATCGTTATCAGACTCTAAAGTTCGAGAAAGTGAATCAGATGAAGTGTCTTCATCCATTAATTTGAATATTTCTAAGTCATCGTGCAAAGGGTCATCTTCAAGTTTATCTGTTAAGTCAATGAATACTTCAGCTGCTGAAAAAATGGAAATAGATAATGAAGATATTAATGAAGATGATTGTATAGAAACAAGTAAAAAAACATTAAATATAAGTCAGTCAAACAAATCAATGAATAAGAGTCTGGTTGGTCAAACAGTTTCAAAAAATGTCAGTTTTTCAAATAAATCATCGATTGGTACATCTCGAAAATCATTGGATAAAAACATGATGGAATCTTCTGAAGATGAAAATGATCACAGCGACACTGATGATAAAAAGTTAAAAGACAAATCAACAAGAAAGTCTAATAAAGTGATGACTCCATTATCTATGAAGAAAGACAAATCTTTGAGAGAAATTGTTAACTCGCCCTTACAAAAGTATACGAGAATTTCGTTGAATTGTTCTGTCTCATCAAAATCTGATGTTGATGTGTCAGAAGAAGAGCAAAATACAGAAAAGGACGAAAAAGAAGAGAAAATTGATGAGTGTCTTAATGTCTCCAAAAAAAGCTTTAAATCTGCAAAAAATACTCCAGTAAAGACTCCAGCCAAGTCATCTCTCGAGGAAAGGGATAAGTCGATGTCCAAGCTTAGCCCCAAGAAAATCGTTAATAAGCAGAAAAAAGAAGAGGAACTCGAAACATCCTTGAAAAAAAATATGGAGCGTATGCGTTATTTAAATCCACCAAAACCAGACTCCATCTCAGACCACCTCTCAACCATAGCATTCGATGGCTCTGACTCTGATGATAACAATGATATTTTATTCCCAAGCGGAGACTCTGACGATAGTGAGTCTAATCAATCAGATATGGATAACTCGTCAAACGAATCTGATGACGATGAAGATGAGTCTGATAACAGCATTGACTCGGATATCGATGCTGTGTACAATCTTGGAGGTAAACGCAATAAAAAGTACGAGGATGATGACGTACATGGGGATGATTGCCACGCATCTGAAGAGGAGTATTCAGATTCTGAAGATAATGGCTCTGATCTTAAGGACTTTATTACATCTGATAATGATAGTGATGTGATGAACGATGTAAGCGACAATGACGAGGTAGATGTCGAAAGCACGGATGATGAAGACAAAGAAAATCAAGATGAGGATGAAGATGAGAAAGTTGAAAAGATGGGTGCTCATAAATCCAAGTCCAATAAGTACAAATCTAATCAATTGGTGGATGATGAAGATGAGAAGGAAATCGAAGAAGAAAAGGTTGTTAATAAATCCAATCAAGAAGAGGAGGATAAGAAAAAAGAACTTGTAGAAAAGATCGCTAATAAATTTAAATCCAAGTTTAATACATCCAAATTGAATAAAACAAAAGAGGAAATTAAAGAAGAGAAGATTGCTAATAAATCTAATGGATCAGAAGAGAATGAAGACGAGGGTGAGGTTGAAGAAGAGAAGGTCAGTAATAAATCGAAATCCAAGTTGAATATTAGTGCAAACGATTCAAAATTGATTGGAAAAAATAAGAGCCAAAATCAATCTTTGAATTTACACAACGAAAGTAAAAAAGATGCAAAAGATCATAGTTTCAATGACTCAAAATCAAAAGACAAATCGTCAAATCCATCTAAATCGATCAAAATTAAAAGTATCGTCAACTGCAGTTTACCTCAAAGTACGAGTGCCAATGTATCACTTTCCGATAGCTCAAAATCCAATTTATCAATTGTAAAGAGAGCTGAGGAAGTTTTGAAGTCAATAGCGGAAAAGAAGCGTGAATCCTCACATTCTTTGAAAAACACAAGCCAAAATACATCCGTGCAAACTCAAAATTTCGATGAAAGCTCTGATGATGAGAACAAAATTGCTTTTGACGATTCTAAAGCTGGTTTTGGCGAGAACGAATATCGCATAATTACTGTCAAACCAGAGCACAAACTAGAAAAGTTCAATAAAAACATAACTCTTGGCATCGAGGCTAGCACTCCATTACCGAAACGGACCGCAGATGATGAAATTTCGCAACGCTGGCCGTGGTCGCAGTATCAGCTGAGTCAAACAGCTCAAGCTATTGATATTGAAACACCGACAACCAAATATTTAAAGAAATCAAAATTAAACGACTCCGTTCCTATCTTGGAGTCGATGAAAAACAGTGATTTGGATAAACAGGTGAAGTCATCGAAAAGCCGAAAAGTCAAAAGCACTAGTCAAATAAATGAAGCAAATAGGCAAGAAAATGAAACAGAGCAAATACCCGTAGAGGTACCAAAATCCTCCAAAAAATCGAAAAAGCGAAAGTTAGTTGATGTATCGCTCAGACAGTCACATCTCGAAGACAGCATTTTGAAGGAGCTGACCAATAAAAAGAAACGAGCTCGTGTCGAAGAAATCGTAGAACAGGATGTCAGCCATAATACATCTACCGAGTCAACAGAGCCCAAGAAAAAACAAAAGAAAAAGAAAAACGACCTATCTGCCTGGGAAGAAACTTTGCAGGATGAAGACCAGGAAAAAAATGAAACTATCGAATCAACCGAGTCCGATAAAAAGGAGAACAAGCAAGTCACCTTGGAAGACAGTTTGCAAAAAGAAGATGCGAACAACGTTACTTCGGAATCAACTGCGTCCAAAACAAAGAAGAAAAAGAAGAAGAAGAAGCAAGCTAGCTTAGAATTGAGTTCTCAAAACGAAGACGAGAAAAATGCATCCGTTGAATCTACAGGATCTAGCCAGAAGGAGAACAAGCAGTCGGGAGTAAATTTGCCAAAAGAAAAGGAGAAAAACGTATCTGTTGAGCCTACGGAGTCCAAGAAAAAAAAGAAAAAGAACAAGAAAAAAAGTTTATTGGACGAGAGCTCTCAGAGTGTGAGTGCAGCCGATGATACGGAAGCAGCTGGAAAAAAGAAAAAGAAGGCTAAGGCAGAAGTGGACGAAATTCAGTTCCCTGAGGAACTCTATGCCATTTCAGCTTTTGCAGCAGCAAACCAAAAGAAGCAAAAGAATAAGCCCGAAAAGATTAAAGTAGATAAAGAATCGTTCAAAGGCGAGCAAAAGACGCAAGAAAACCTGGAAAAAGAAATCGAGGCTGAACAACCGGACGAAGACACTTCGATGAAGAAAAAGAAAAAGTCGAAGAAAACCGAAGTTCAGTTTGTTGAGGAACCTCCAGCCGTCGTGGCTGATATGGTAGAAAAGCAAAAGAAGAAAAAGAAAAAATCCCTGGGTACTCAAGAAGCTGCATCAATGAATCAAAAAGAGGCAGTTGTACCCAAAAAAATACGTGAAAAGGACACAAAGCGTTTGTCAAATGAGAAGTCCGACCAAGAAAACTTGGACATCGAGAGCGTTCAACAGCGCCAGGAATTACAGTCGAGCAGTGAGTCTCGGAAATTGGAAAAGAAATCCAAGAAGAGGAAGTTGGAAGTGTCTTGCGACGACGACGAAGCTCCGGATGTTGAAACCTTTGACGAGGCTCGTCGTTCTGCTTTGAAATCGTTGCAGCAGGTGGAGGATAGCGTGAAGGCCCAAAAGGAGAATCGTAAGAAAAAGCAGAGAGAGCATGCTGAACGAAAGCTCGAGGAGAAATCGAAAGCACAGGAGACTAAGAGTCTGGAAAGACTGCCCGTGGACGTGCTTGAGAAACTGACGGACAAGCCCCTTTCGCGAGCAGTCAAACGACAAAAGCTATCGAAAAACACCGAGCGCAAAATTATGGATAACACTCCTGTTAAAGTACCTCGCAACGTCCAGGTTAATGATGGTTTCATTCCTCTGAGCTCGCAAGGTGGCACCACGCGATTTGGCATTGTTGAACTGAATAAGGCTGCCAAAGTTATCAAAACCAACGTCAATGTTATCAACTTTAGGGAGAAAATGTTATCACGGAACGTTAGGGAAGCAGCTGGCGCTTATATTATTCACCAGCAAAAAGTAAAGGCCAAGAACAGTTTGTAAAAAAAAAAAAACAGTCCAAATAGATCAATTCTATTTTTAACTAAGGTAATTAAGTTTTACGCGATGTTGAATGTCTAGAAGGGTGAAATCTTTGGAACGTTTACATTTATATATATTTTTTATACGACGAAAATCGAGATGGTGCCAGTTATCGTTAAAATAAGCACTCCTTTGCCTTTGTACGATAAAAAATAAGGTGCATTTCTGTTAACAACAAAGTCTGGTCTTATTACGTATGTTCCCATTATCTGTTGCTCTTTTTTTTTTTTTTTTAACTAATTGACCTCAAGCCAAACTTAGTACTTGTTCATTGTTTATTTGTTTTTTTTTTTTTTTTTTTTTTTACAGAGTTATTAGATTAATTGATTATAGTTATCTCGATGAAAGTACCACGTAATGGTAAAGTAATATATACTTATTTTATTTTTTACAAAAAAAAACTTCAGGTATTTCTTGTTTCATTTTATTATTCGTGCTTTTAATATATATAAAGAAAAAAAAGTTGAAAGATGAAACATTGTGGCACTGATTCATGATGCACAATTTGCGCTTTCCTATCGTTAAGTTTATTATATAAAGTTAACTCTGTACCATTAAAATGAAATAAAAATTTAGATGCAGTTTATGTAAGATCGCATCCGTAACATTTTTTCACATTTTTTCCACCACCTCTAGTGATAACTAATCCTACGTGAAATTACTTTTTTTTTAAATTTGCTACACCATTAAACTGAAAAATCAACTTGGCATTCCACTGTCATTTTCACGATCCAAACAATTTGTGAGTAAAAAAAAAAAAAAAAAAAAAAACCCGCACTTCAGTCGGGTTCGCTCACCGCAACATAGTTGGAATGAAAATACACTGCCGAGTGGGTATCAGCAGGCAAATATTAAATTCGATAAAGACGAGGGGTAATTTTTCCATCCTCCAAACGAACGTACACCACATATACGTGCAAAGCACGAGTAGCCGAGCGGTGTTTTCATCTAGATAAAACTAGAAGCAAGAGTTTGGTCCCGAGCCGCAAGGATCTACACACGACGTATATATATGTATATATATATATACATAGCTAGCACCTATAATACAAAACAGTGGCACACAGTCGCGAAAGCTCGCGCGGGATGGATGGATGGGAGGCCGAGAGCGTCAGAGGCAAGGACAGTTAGTTGACGGACGACGATCTGTCGATATGACAAGTGGCAGGCCGCTGCTCGGCGCGTTGCTCGTCGCCCACTGCTTCGCCGTTTGCACCCTCGCCGCCAATATCACCCTTCCCAAGAGTAAGTGACTACGTTTTTTCTTTCCCCCCCCCCCTCCCTTCTCTTTTCCTTCAAATGCGAACATTTCTCGACGCTTCCCTTGATTCTTGGATCGCACAAAGTATATATAGATATCCATCGAGCGATCGCCAACCGATTTTCGTCGAGCCAACCCTCGCGCGTACAGTTTTTTTTTTTTTTTTTTTTTTTTCAACGAAAGCTTCGTGCAACACACCAGCAGTTTACCGTAACGACAAGTGCTCCAGTTTCAGCAGCACCACACACCGTCCCACTTTTAGCCACCAATCAGCCTAATGGGTCGTCCGCTTCGTCTCCTCCTCGAATGGAATATTGAACCGAGGCTAAGCCGTTTGACGCGATGGGCGAATTTTCGATACCGATTTCCGACCTGTTGAACAACGAAAATAAGAAAAAAGTAACAAAAAAATGTTCATACGTGTACACCCACGACGACAGGGCTTGTAAAAAAGAGAGAGAGATCGGGCTCTGGAGAAGCGCGCATTAGATAGGCGTTTATCCACTTACAGCCCCATTCGCTTCAAATCTGCGCGCTCTGATGACGATAATCGGCGCGGTCTCTCCTCCCACACGTTCACGGCTCTTCCCTTTTGTCTTCGATTTCGCTGCAACAACAAGGTTTGTTTTTTGTTTTTTTATTTTTTTTTTTATGCCCCCCTACTCGACTGAGCCCTTTTCGCGCTCTCTCTCTCGCCCTTGCATGTGCTTTTGTACGCGCGCGCGCGCGTAATTAAATTACTCCAATTTGTACAACCATTGAAACGCCGATGTTTTTTTTCCCCCCCTTTGTATCATCCTGCGTACATTCATTGCAATCGAAGTAGATCGTCAGCGTTCAGTGGAAGATAAAGTTGAGAAAAAAAAAAAAAAAAAAAAAAAATTCGTACAGACAACCAAGCGTGGAACGAAACGTGGACGGACAAGCTGAGGCAACACCTGCTCGCCAAGTATGACAAGCTCGCGAGGCCCAGCCAACACTGGAACACGACGACCGTCAGCGTCAAGCTCAACGTGCAGACCGTCGAGGTGGCCGATCACGACAACGTCATGGCCGCCAACGTGTTCGTCATCATGGTAATAACGCGACAAACCACGAAATTCGCCCAAAACGCGCGATCGTTCACTTACAGGTACCTTATATCGAGGGAGTGTATGTTTTGCTTTTTGTTGTTGCGCGTCGACTCGCCACGTAGACGTGGAACGACGACAAGCTGAGATGGAACTCGTCCGAGTTTGGCAACCTCACCCAGGTCGAATTTCATACTCGATAAAATTATTAAAACGCGTACGAACAATTGTGTCAAATTTTCATTTGAATGCTCCAGGTAAACCTCGGGGCCCACGAAATCTGGCTGCCCGACATTTACGTGCTGAATAGGTAAAAAAACAAAAAAAACAAAAAAAAAACAAAAAAAAAAATGTACCGATCTTGTAAAAGAGTTGGTAGAGTGGAGAAAAAAACAATGAAATAAACATCAAGGCGAATAAATTGCTTAGCGCGTCCCACGGTATGGAGTACTACGGCGATCGGCACTGCATAGTCAACGAGCTGGGTCTCGCTATTTGGGTCACGCCCACGATATTTCACGGCTACTGTCACTTGGACTTCAAGTACTGGCCCTTCGAGATGAACACGTGCAGGCTGAGCTTGAGCTCGTGGACGTACGACGGCTCCCAAGTGGACTTGAAATTGCTCGGTTCCGGCGTCGACGTTAGTGTGCACATTTATATATATATACACACGCGTGTGCCTCTTTTATCATTCTCATCGCTCTATGTAATATATATATATATATATATATATATGTGTCTTTTGAAAAACGAAAGGAAGAATATTTTTCAATCGTCGTAGATTGATAGAAGTAAAAAAATTCGTGAGTTGACGATTTGCAAAGTGCACTCCTCGCATGTACGATTCTGCGGGACTATTTTCATCAACTAATCGATTCATCGGACAAGACAACAGCTCGAGCTANATATATAATATACAAAGCTTCGAGACGTTTTTCGCAGCTCAACGATTACGTGGTCATAAACGAGTGGGTGGTGCAAAACGTCACGCCGATACGCAGGGAGGAAGTCTTCGACTGTTGTCCCGAGGCCTACATCACCTTGGACTTTGAGTTCGAGCTCGCCCGATCCTCCGAAATTTACTACCACATCGTCTTTGTACCCATCATTCGTAAGCAATTGCAGTGGTTCACTCCCATTGAAAAAACAATTTCCTCGAGAGAGCAAAAAATGTATACATTTTTGTTATTCTTGTAGCAATAGTTTTCTTGTCCCTCATTACGTTTTGGCTGAGGCCACAGAGCGAGATGAAACTCATCGTCAACGCCTGCATAATCCTCATCGTCGTGCTGTACCTCATCTACTTTGGCCACAAAATACCCCCAAGGTTCGACAGTATGCCAATTATCGGTAAGATGTCCTTGTACACTTTATCCGGGACGAAGGGGGGATTTTAGCGAGATATGGTTTAGCGTGTTATTTACGGCATTGTTTTAGTTAGGTTTTACAGTGCCTGTCTCTGCCAAGCGACCTTATCGCTGGTAGTTGCAACCATTGTGATAAATATCGATAAATTTGCATTTTGCACGAGCATCCCGCGGCCGATGAGGCGTCTCCTGCTCGGCAAGCCTGGACGTTACTTGGGCCTCAATCACATTGTCCAAGAGGTCGGTAGGCTGTTGATGAACAAATAATAAAACGGTATCGGTTGACTCGACGATGAGTGTCATTGTCTTTGCAGATCGAGTCGCAGAGATCGGCAGGGGAGCAGGAGATGTGCGAAAATCACTTGATGGATATAACGATATCGACGACGTCCTTTGCGAGTTTCACCAACAGCCAACAACAGCTGTTTACTTCGCCGAATCACAAAACCGTCACGAAGCTGGAGTGGATGCTTCTAGCGACGGCGATTGATAGACTGGTGTTTTGCTTGTTTTGCGTGGTCTACCTTATATTCGCCATCAGTTGGGTGCACATGAAAAGATTTACCTTCACAAGCGATAACGAGCCCTACTGGCACAGCTAGTGGGTGTACGACAACGATCATCCATTGTTGAAAAGAGGAAAAACAACGCACACGCGACGTGAATTGAAGCGCTTTTTATTATGTTTGAAAATATCATTTTACGCTATAAACATTCATAAGTTTAGTCTCGTAAATATATATTCTAAGTGTACATACAAATATATTAACAATTATACGAAATTATTGTATAAATATATAAAAAAGGAAGTCTTTCGCGACATTGTCTTTACGGAGCACTTGTTTTTTTTTTTTTTTTTTTTTTTCCCCAACTCTTTCTATACTTTTTTTTACAAATAACTTCTGTAAAGGATTTTATTTTATAGACTATATCATCTGAATGATCAAAAAAAAAAAACTATTATTTCTAAGGAAAATTTAAATTGTTAATAATTTTTTTTTTTTTCACGTAGTATTTTCCACGATTGAGAATCGTCAACAAAAACGTCAACAAACAATAACGATAGATTGCGATATTCCAGAGCCATCTCGACAAGAAGCATTCGTCGAACACAAAATATACATAAAAAATTACTTCGCCCGAGGCGAAGATTGCAAACTTGACAGAGACTTGACTTGAATGGAAAAAAAAAAAAAAATCAATAAAAAAATGAAAGAAAAAAAAACTCGCTCTTGGAATGATCTTGTCGAAAGTGCCTCCTTTTCAATAAACCATGACAATATTAATTGCTTCGTTCGATGCAACATTACTTCTAAGGCAGCTTTGGCGCAAAAGTACGATCATTTTCAGGAAAAATTTCTCGCAGAAACTGTTTGCGTGAATTGCGTAGTTTTCTTTCACTGGTATGAGACGAGCATCTGGTAGAGCACCAAGTCTCCCGTGATGCGGACGGTATTGATGATCATCGGCTTCAGCCTGTGCTGGAATTCGCCAATCAATTTATCATTGAGCCACACGCTGTAGCCATTGAACTCACAGCGGATTCTGCAACGATAATGAATTTGTAAGCAAAAAAATAAAATGGTGTTTCCGCGAGTGCTGAACGAGCTATTGGAAAAATTACATTAACGAAAATTCTCGTCCAGGGGTCCAAGATTGGCCCTCGTGGCGTTCCTCTTTGTCCCACATGCCACTGTTCCAACTATTCATGATTAAACACGACGGCTGATTTCCATAGTAGTAACGTGGATTCAAGTGCAAGGCGATGATCGGATGGGGGTACACGCTTTTTCCTTTTTGAAGATTTATGTAGAATCTGTAAATACACGAACATTTGATGGGTTAAAGGTCAAAAAAAGTACATGGTTTTCCGGCGATTGTTCAAACTCACGAGTGCGGCAGTAATTTCAGTCTACCCTTGATCGTCAATTTCGCTCCAACGTCGAATCCCTGCGGGAGATCGATGACGGCAGGCAATCCCTAAGAAAAAATTGTACATTGGAAAAAAAAAAAAAAAAAAACAGTTGATTAATCTGTAAAACTTACCAAATTATCGCTCAGTGGCTGGGCGTCTCGCAACTCTAAAATTCTGGTCGGCTTGCAAATCTGCGGATCGGGATACTCGTGGATGTTGGTCTGTCGGACCCTCGTCTCCTCGACATGGTCGTTGAACTCGAGGCCGATGATTTCTTGCAGCGGAATCCTGTAGGCAAAGGCACAAAAGTGTTCTCCATCTATCGCGATCTAAACAAAAAATGTTTTTTTTTTTTCACTCTCCACTTTGAAAAAGGTCGAAAAAACCGGTGAAAAAAGGGTAAAGAAATACAATTACCTGAAATTCATTGAGGGTGCAAAATATCGTGAGGTGAAAAAAGGAATTTCTCCGGAAAAGGTAGCCTCGAGCCGGCAATGGCGAGCAGGTCTCCTCCTCCTCCCAGCATCCCTTGTGTTTGCTGTTCCGAACTATGTAGCCGCGATCGAGCCGAGGGTTGAAGTGCAAGGCTATCGACCCCGATGCTCTACATCTCAGATTTAGCGAGAATCTCCGAAGGAAATGTTTGATTTACTTTTTTTTGTTTTTTTTTTATATATATGTATCAAAATTGTCACATATTGTTGTTGCCAAAGCGAAAAAAATTAAAATAAATAAAATTTAATAAATTTTGACGAAATCGACCGAAACGGGTTGTCTGTGTATTTGGACTACTGATCGGTATGAGATTTTTTGTACGACTAAACTATCGGTTTATTTGAACGTGTTGTCATTGGCGACGTCGAGTTGGGCATCTTTTGTTTTCAACTTTTCGTTGCCACGTTAACACCATGAATAGAGCAACAAAAACATTTTTCCGATCGAAGGAGGGAGGCACGATATGCATGTACATATATACTTTTTTTTTTTTTTTTTTTTTATCATCGGCTAAGGTCGCGTGCAAATAGGCTCTAATTACCTGGTGGCGTCGATCGGGATGTAGCCCGTGACGATGATTGCCGACGTCGCGGTCAGCTGGTTCAACTTGAAAAGCGTCGATATATTCTGCGAAAAAATAAACGCAGGGAAATAATGATTAAAAAAAGTAAACGAAAAAAAAAAAAAAAAAAAAAAACGTGCTGAGTAGTCGTCGCTCATATCATACTCTGTAGATCAACTCTAACGTTTGTATGCGGATCCTCGGCAGTGGCTCGTTTCGATGAAAAATCGTACGTTTTATTTTTCTCATCATGTCGCAAATTATAAGATACTATATATACTTATCACTGTTTTCGATTTCCCAAACAATCGGTACGTGTATACATAGTTACTAAGGATATTCATGCCACGCGGGAATGCAACCCAACTAAATGCTCCTTTTTCATTGTTTTTTTGTTTTATTTTTGCAAAAAATTTGTCCACATCTGATCATTCAAACGCGAGATGAAATCACGTAATCTGTTGCACTGCACAGCACAAAAAGGTACATTCGCATAACGAAACGCAAGCACGACGAAGGTGATAAAAAGCTCGAAAAGTTTCGCGCGTACACGAAGACTTTCGATCTCAGCCGAGAGTAGCCGAAGCTATGAGAATGGCGCAGTTAACACACAAAAACACACCATGCACGTCAAGCAAAGAGAGAAAAAACAACGACGCAGTATGTAAGTGTGATATAGGAAAGGTGCGAGTGATACGAATGCGGTATACTCACCACGGGCACCGTCTCCTCGTCGAAGAACTCGAAATTCTTCAGAGCCTCGTTCCTCCGAGCCACGACCGCGTGCAGCCACTCTCGAGTCATGTTCTCACTCGATCGAAGCAATTACAATGAACGATATATATAGGTATGGTATTTTACTGCTCTACCGATCTCTGATTATTTTGATATCCGTGTGTATATCCCGCGAATCGACACACCGCATCCTGTCGGATCTCTATCCCGCCGGCAACTAAAAATATAATTATCCAACGACTCTTCACTCTGTACAGTAGCAGTCTATATACAATGCCTCTCTTGTTCTTCTTTGCGCTCCACTTTGTGGCTTCTTTGGAGTTGATATTCTTTGTACGTGCACACACGCTAGCCGCGGTACTTGAGTACTGGAGTGCCTCTCGGAAATTTCACTTCCGCGCCTTGCCGATCGATCGCTTTTTAAACTCATTAGCCCCGTGCCAAAGTGCTGACCGGGCTTATTGACTCTGTTGCGTGGGTTTGGGCAACGTTTTTTTGTTAGAGATAATGTTTTATCAAGATATTGGGTGTGTACCTGTACTCTGTTTTAGGAGCGATAAGGTCGAGACTTTTTGCCCTCGAGGGTGGAATTTTTGTTTTTCCCAAGCGAGGGATCGGGATGATCGTTGAGGGAAAAAAAAAAAAAAAAAAAAAAAAATAGAAAAACGTGATTGTTTGAATAAAAGTTTTTGTTTTGTTTTATTGCATAATAGATCTTTCACATTCATCAGTTCATTTGTGTATAAATATAATATACATATATATTTTTTGTTACATGCGTTGCGATATCGAGACGTACGTTCTTTTTGTTTAAGTAACAGAGTCCTTCATCACACGGATGTATTCATTGTTTTGTTATTATTACTTCCAGTTTGTATTATGAAAATAGGTCAGCCTTCGTGGTTGTTTGTGGTTTGAGTATTCTGACTTTTTTAAAATTTGTTTTTTTTATTTTATTTTTTTCCTTAACAATCGTACTGTATAACAATCTCACAAAGATAAATCTTGGTATATCGATAAACGTCTCGGCTACGTTATTCCGCATAAAATTTGTAAAAATATCAATAGGATTTTCCATTGTGCGTTTCGTTGTCATTTGTAAATGTGTCTATAAAATTGTTTCTCAGTTAGAATACATTGTACTTTAAATAGAGGAACTTTACGATTAAGCCAATATAATTTAATTTTTTTTGTAACGTAACAGAAAAAAAAATTCTTTGGAACACGCGCGAGTTAAAAGATTTAAAATTATTAACAATATAATAACCCTATGCACTGAGTATTGGATACATCAGTTTGCCTTTGATAACAAATAAAACGACGATGTTTGTCAAAAGCTATACGTATTTCCCAATGTTCAATCTAAAATCTATAATGTGTAACGAAATGATTGCAACTGTGAAATTTTTTTTACAAAAACGAAAAAAGTTTCGTCACGATTTTTTTGGAGACTAGAGGAGTTTCAAGAAAAAATAGAAAATACATGTACATAGAAAATTTAAATGGTTCAAAAGTATAAACTAATAAGTAAAGGCAATTAACAGTAATAATAATAACGATAATATAGTAGCTCTAAAAATGTAAAAACACTTTTAGATTCACACGACAGTGTGCCACATTTTCCTAATACTATCGAACTTTTCGTTCTGTTTTCGTCATTTAAGAATCTATGTCGACCGAAACTTAAAAATTTGTAACAATAATCAAAGTATAGGTGTCTACAATTCCATTAATTTTGACTTAATTTAAATGTCATCTACCTGTAAATGTACATGGAAAAGCGTAAGTGCGTGAGTCGAATTGTATTAATAAAAAAAATCTTCCATGAGGCATATCTTGCCTGGTATGCGATGAGAGATGCTGATTTACCATCTTAACATAATAATAAACATTAAAAAAAAATTTAAATATCACGTGGCTCATGAGGATCAGGCAGTTTTTGCCAGTTGGGCTCAACGCCCCAAATTTCTCGGGCGTACTCAGCGATCGTTCGATCTGATGAAAATTTACCAGACGAGGCGATGTTATGAACGGCCATTTCAACCCATTTCGATTCATCCTACAAACATTTTGACAATTTTAATCAAACTCCTGTTGAATAGCTTATAATTGAAAACTTTTAAAATCATACGTACGAGATAAGTTTGGGATACTTTGTCCTGAGTTTTGATGTAGTCGGCATAGTCAGCCAGAAGATAAAATCTGTCCCACTTGAGCAGAACATCGACAATGTCTTGGAACTCTCCTGGATTGTTGGGACTAAAGAATCCTCCTTGGATTTGATCGATACATTGTTTTGCCTCTGGCAATTTGTTGTAGTAATCGTAGGCGTTGTATCCTTTTCTCTTCAACTCCTCAACTTCGTCTACAGTCATTCCAAAGATAAAGATATTGTTATCACCCATTTCCTCAGCCATCTCGACATTGGCTCCATCGAGAGTACCGATGGTTAGTGCGCCGTTCAACTGAAAAATGTATGAATCGATGAATATACTCAATTTATAAAAATAGAACGGTTCTTCAAAAAATCAACTCACCATGAATTTCATGTTACCGGTTCCCGATGCCTCGGTACCGGCAGTCGAGATCTGCTCGCTGAGATCGGCAGCGGGGATAATCTTTTCCGCCAAAGTGACTCTGTAGTTCTCCAAAAAGATAAACTTGAGCTTATCTCCGACAATGGGATCGTTGTTGACGACATGAGCGACGCTACAAATGAGCTTGATGATCTTTTTGGCAAGATGATAACCGGGCGCAGCCTTGCCGCCGATCATCACAGTGCGGGGCACAAAGGCCGCGTTCGGGTTAGCCTTAATGCGATTGAACATTGTGATGACGTGCAGGCAGTTGAGCAGCTGGCGCTTGTACTCGTGAATACGTTTGACCTGAATGTCAAAGATCGACGAGGGATTGACCTTGACTCCGTATTCCTTCTCGAGAATATCGGCGAGTCGCATCTTGTTCTCTTGCTTAACTTTAACGACAGCGCGTTGGAATAACGGATCTTTGGCAAACTGCTTGAGCTGCTCGAGCTGCTCCAAATGTACGGTCCAGTCGCTTCCAATTCTCTGCAGAAAAAAGCAATTAGTCGGAAAATCGACGAATAAAAAAAAGCACAAGCGAGTCAAATCATTCACCTCTTCAATGACATCGGACAGATTGGGATTGCAGAGCAAAAGCCATCTTCTGGGAGTGATGCCGTTGGTTTTGTTTTGGAATTTTTGCGGGTCGAGCTGATAAAAATCTCGGAAGACGGAGTCTTTCAAAATTTCTGAATGGATGCGGGCCACACCGTTGACAGCGTGACTGCCGACGATTGACAAGTGGGCCATGTTTACGCGCTTCTCGCCTTCCTCTTCGATAAGAGACATGCGACGCAAACGATCCAAGTCACCTGGGAATTTGGCCTCGACTCTCTTCAGATGTAAAAAGTTGATGTGATAGATGATCTGCAAGTGTCTCGGCAGAATGCTGTCCAGCATGCTAGTGGGCCACCTCTCCAGCGCCTCCGGCAGTACGGTGTGATTCGTGTAGGCGCAAGTACGGACTGTCACTTCCCAAGCCTACAGAGAACGCGTTCGGTTAGATTTTCATGGAAACAGAGAGTGAAATTTACTTTTTAGTACCTTGTCCCATGAGAGGCCCTCGATATCAATGAGGATCCTCATGAGCTCGGGGATCGCGAGGGACGGATGGGTGTCATTCAGCTGGATGGCCACCTTGTCCGGGAAAGCGTCAAAATCAGTCCTGTGGTGCTCCTTAGAGCCAAATTTGCTCGACTTGTAACGGCGAATGATATCCTGCAGGGTGGCCGCCACCATGAAGTACTCCTGCTTCAAGCGCAGCTCTTTACCCTCGAAGAAGTTGTCGTTCGGGTAAAGTACCCTCGTAATGTTTTCCGCCAGATTCCTGTCGATCACGGCCTGAATGTAGTCGCCGTCGTTGACTGAAACGAGAAAATATCGGTTGTAAATGTCGCTCTCGTCTCTCACTTTTAGTCAATCAATCAACTTTAGATGGAAGTTGGGACGTACAGAATTTCAAGTTGAACTCGACCGGCGACTTGGCCGACCACAGTCTCAGAGTGTTGACGACGTTGTTCTTGTATCCCGGGATGGGATTGTCGTAGGGCATGGCGAACACGACCTTGAACGCAACAACGACTCGTACACGAAGGTAATGTAGACAAAAAAAAAGAAAAAAACAATCCAAAGGAACTCACCTGCGTGTTGACCCACTTCTTGCCCTCGGGAGCGTCGATCACGTGGCCGTAAAAGTTGACGGGCAGCATGAACTCGGGCCTCGCCTTTTCCCAGGGGTTGCCGTACCTTAACCAGTCGTCGGGCTCCTCGACCTGCTCGCCGTTCTTGATCTTCTGGGCGAAGATACCGTACTCGTAGCGGATGCCGTAGCCGTAGGCTGCCAAACCCAAGGTAGCCATGCTGTCGAGGAAGCACGCGGCCAGGCGCCCGAGACCTCCGTTTCCCAGACCCGCGTCCTCCTCCAGCTCCTGCAGCTCTTCGATGTCAAGGCCCATCTAGCGATTTTTTTTTTATTTAACGTAAATTAACGGTTTTTCTCCTTGTCTCTCTCGATCCTATAGTCATAAACACTATGTTCCTCGAAAAATCTGGTCCATCACCCACCTGATACATGGCTTCGTCGCAGGCGCCCTGAATACCCAAGTTGATCATCGTGTTTTGCAATGTTCGGCCCATGTAGTACTCGAGGGACAAATAGTAGCATCTCTGCAAAAAAAGATAATAATCGTACAGTTTATTTATAGGCTCGGCTGCAATTTTATATAGGCTCGGCTGCAATTTTATATACGATATGCCAAGATTATACTCGTATCGACGGATCGTTTGAGCGCCAGTTAAGGTCGTCCGATTGGATTTTTCATTTGTTGGGATTTTTTTTTTTTTCTTATCCGTTCACGCGTCGATTTTGGGGTCACGGATTATCTTACGTAGTCCTTGGATGAGAGAAAAAAAAACCATCCCCTGCTGCACGTATATTATACAAGCAACGCGGAAATCGAAGATTACGCGATAAAACTAGTGCGTAACTTGTTTATTGAAATTGACAGTCGAGTTTTTCAAAATGATTTCCTTGACAAGTGATGGGGGGCAAAACCTACAGCTTCAACTTTTCAGAAACAAGGAAAAAAAAAGCTCTCGAGCCAGAGTTTTTGTAATACGTATCTAAATGCCGTATACTTGCACACTACGTTTACCCACATCTACCAAAATATATAACTGCAGCTCGGAGCTGAAATTTCGTGAATTTGGGAAGGTATCCAAAAAAACTAGGAAGAGTTATTTAGCTAGAGCGAGCCCGGAAGCAGCGATTTTATGTACCTGAAACCAAGTATTTATTGCTGAACCGCCAAATCGAGGACTGGTCTTTCGCTTCCGAATCTTTTGATGGTAAGAGACGCATATCATCGTCGTACTTATAGGGATAATGCCGATGAATCGAAAGAGAAAGAAAAATGAGAGTAGCAATGATGGGCTGGTAAAATTTTCGTTTCGACTCGTCATCATCAGTCGAGAGAGACCGACTCATACGTTGAGAGCTTAATGGATGTAAATTTAGAGCGCTCTCGTGTTTTTGTCCTTCGGCTGTTATTCTATGTGTTGTGTTATACGCATAGCGAACAGTGCCACTGTTTGCTAATAGCACTGTTATTGCCTTTTGACTACTTTAACACCATATTTTCTTTTTTTACGTAAGTAACGAGTATATAAATTTGGATCCAAATCTCAAAATTTAGTGACTTTTGCATTACGAATGTATAACTATTAAAGCTAAATCGGTTATTACGATACAGATAAAGTTCAAAGTGTACACTGCCCCCTTGCCATGAAAATCAATACAAATCAATTGATCTCTCGCAGCACTACCAACTCGGCAGTTCGTTACAATCGCTTAACTGTATATACAAGAATAAAGAAAAAAAAAAAGAATTTGATTCTTAGTCTCGTTTTATTATCAACTAGAAAAGCTCGCCGAGCTAATTATCCCAATTACGTAAAGGCCGCGATCTATCGATGACTTTTGTTCCGATTTAGATGCAAAAATTTCGATAAACCGTTCGCTTTTAATCTGAATTCTTTTAATCGATGTTTATTACATTATCAAAGTATCAATAGCCAGTTTTTTTTTATTTTTTTTTTTTTTATTACTATTCAAGAGGAAATGAAGAAAAAAAATCGCGTTTCGTAATTGTGACAAATATCTGGCGCTTGCGATTGATCAACTACTCTTAGAACAATGCAGATATTTAACTGAAATCGGTTCACGGCCGATAAGAAAAACGAGCTAGTTTAGCAGAATTGGAACGCCGACCCCGACAATTATAGTTAATTGTTTTGTCTCAACAAATAAATAGTCCACTGTATACTTGTTGTTGCGTAATCATATAAGACCATTTTTGCAAGTTTTTAATAAGTATACATACATTTACTGTAACACAACTTCTTTTAATATTCATTGACTTCTATCTTGTTTTTTTTTTCCATTGTTTACGTAAAATGACAGTTAAAGTTAAAGATATGGTTTAGCTGCATTTAACCATATTAGATAATATCAATAAGCACTTTTTTTAAGTGATTTCGGCTTATTTTTTTTTAAAACATGTATATCAAAACTAAATTTAATTATAAGCTTAAGGATATCACCCCACGTGCTTAATTATGTATTAAAATATCGTGTAAAAATCGAATAGAAAGTATGTAATACCATACACGAGAAAATGATCAGAGACATTATCTACATATACCTACGCGCACCCACATTGTTCAAACAACATAACTTCAAATTAAGTCTCATCAATTTCGGTAAAGGAGAGTATCTACGATACCGTGTCACAGTGTAAGAGTTAGATGAAAGACGAGAGCACCGAAACTAATATCTTCATTCGACGTCCCTCGTCCACCTAAGTGCGTGTATACATACTTATCGTGTAACACGTGCTAAATAGAAGGAGGAGTAAAATATAATATTGCGCTCACGACGACGACTATGTGGTGCAAAGGTAAGCGAGTATCGAGAGCAAGGCCGGCTCGCGGCACCGATTTCGTTTGTATAAGGTAGTCGAGCCGTGATATCAAAACAATTCGGATCAACTCTGTAAGTACTCTCTGGTGTGTGGTTCGAACGATGTTTAAAACTTATGGTTTTTGTGAATCTTCGAACTCGGCAGAAGATTGGTGGAAATTTAAATTTCGAAAGGGCGCCACTACAACTTCACCTGCAGAAAAAATCCCTTGTCTTTATTTAATTTTTTTTTTTTTTTTTTTTTTTTTTTTTTTGACGTTGACGTTTGACGTTGGAGTGATGGAAGAAGAAAACGTTTCGAAAATAATAGAACTTCGGAGCAGAGCACGGAGGGAACTTTCGAATAAAAAAATGTTTCAGCAAATAAAAAACGTGCGGTAGAGAGACAGAAAAAATAAACACGCAGGTATCGCGTGTTCGGTACATGCCGCTTATACATATAGTGAATTCCGACGATCTGTATGAAAACACATCAACGAACGATAATCGTCGATTGGCCACCTGAAACAACTCGTTTCAATAAACTTTATTTTCCCACTGCTAACGTATGAATTCACACTTTTTCAACGTACCAGATAAACCATATCGTTGAGGGGTAGCGTTAAAAGCTCGCGCCAAGAACAGACAAGCCGCGAGTTTAATTAAGCGGTGAAAATTTAACAGAATCAGATGAAGACAACGACATCACACAACACGAAATGAAATTAAAAAGCCCGTGAGTGCCAAATTCTACTATTCCTCCCCTCTTTTTAACGTTTGCAAAAACGCGACAGACCATCGTCGGCATGTAAGTATACACTTTACGGCTGCACTAGGTGACGAGATCTAATATCCGATGAGGACGATAATCGCGTTCCGGGTACCGCACAAGGTTAGGTATTACATACATGTATCGGAGAAGCAACGGAGATGTTAAAATTAAACGACATCTCTTGTACTTAACACACGAACGATCCAAGTAAGCAGTGTAAAAAATATCGAGACAAAAATGGAGCTTTAAAAACCGACGATATAATAGACTAAATACGGCCAACAAGTACATACAATCAAAACAATCGACTTCGAGGACAAGGTAAATCTGTTACTTAACTTATCTTGTAATCTCGCGTGGATGGGGTATGATATATATATATATCTATCAAAATCAAGTGCATTCGCATCGTTTTCTTGTGTCGTTCATTAACAAATGATAAAAGGTGAGTGGTACCTACTAACCTTGGGATCGGTCTCGTAGTAGTACTGCTGGGTGCGTATCCAGCGGGAGACGAGGTTGTCCTTGACGCTGTGCGCGAGGGCAAAGTAGTAGTCGCGCGAGGTCGCGACATTTCTGTCCTTGACGAGGGTGTAGTGGAGATGCCGGTTGAAGGTCTTCTTGAAGTTGGCGACGTTTTCAACGTCGACGATACCCCGTACCGAGATCTGCTTTCTCTTCTCGCTGTCACTGTCGCTCACCGACATTCTCCGCGGATGGCTATACTCGGTACGAACTTGTGATATTTCGTGCTCGTATCTTACTTCCCGGGGACACGCTTCGAGTGTATATGGCAGCGGCACGCGTAATTGTGCCGTGTATAGTTACTTTAGCTCCGAAACTGTGACCGAAAAACAACAACAACAACCCGAGGGACGAGAGTTCGGCCCTGCTGCACGACGGGGAACGACTCATTGTGGGCTCGCTCGCGAGAGAGCTGCGAGCGCGCTGCCGGTGTCACCTTGGGAAAGGTCGCGCGTGCGCTTTGACGCTCTCCTCTCTCCTCCTCCTGATTCTCCTCCCCCGAGATGAGAGAGACGAACTCCCTCCGTTATACGTTATGGGTTGGCCAAGTGTGTTCCGAGAGATCGGCTGGCTCGCAGACCGCCGTAGCCGGCTGCTAATTTTTGAATTAAATCTTTCGAATTGCCATGCGTAGTTTTTAAATTACAGATCCTGGAAAAAATAGGCTTCTGTATAGGATACAAAACTCAAAAAAAAGAAAAAAATGTAGGGTTCAAAATGATATAAAGAATCGGTGATTGCTGGGACGATTGAGAGAGATTTGGAAAATTCATCGACAACACGTGTTTTATTTATATCATTTATTTATAAATTAATCGTGCGAATGCAGATGCAATAATGAAAACGTCAAGAAGCGATACGCGTATTACAAGTCACATATTCTTTCAACACTTTTGCCACTTTTCCAAGAGTTAAAAACACATGCATGGATTCATGTAGCTACAATAGATATTAAGAATGTGTATAATATAATATTTAAGTTGCATCATCTTCATTTTCAGCTTTACTGGATTATTATTGTTAATTCGTTTATTATAATATGCGAACTCGATTTCCATTGCATCGCCATAAGCCCATTTTTACCATCTCACTCTTTTCAAGTGTGAACGATGTTTTTTTTTTTTTTTTTAGCATAG